GGAGATATCTTCTTTCGCTCGCAAAAGAAAAGGCCCCTCTTTCTTTTAAACGAAATCCAAAAACCTGCCGTAATTCGTCAGGGCTCGCCAGGGCTCCCGCCCGAGATCGCATTCGAAACGATACCGGCGGCCCCAGCGACGGCGCCTCAGCGTCCCCACAACCCAGGCTCTCGAAAAGTGATTATGGCGGAAAGCTGCTACCGAATGCGGATGGGCGAGCCGGTTCCGCCACGCTGGACGGGCCAGCGGCTGGCACGCGCCGGCCACACGAGCGCTCGTCGTCTGCGAGGCCACCGCTCGGCGTCGCTGCGTGCGTCGGCGATCGCGCTTGGCTGTGAGGTGGGACGGCGGCATGGTGCGCGCGGGCGCGGGGGTGGTGCGGGATGTGCGTGCCAGCAAGCCTAGTTTCACCTCTACCCACCCCGCAGGCGCGCCGACGTGCCGCCCGAGCGCGTTTGGGGGCAGTGCAGCAGCTCCTCGCCACACCTCTTTCCCGCCGCGCGCGAGTTGAGCTCCGATTTGCGCTCTTTTTCGCACACGCTCGACGCTATTAGGTGAGGATGGTCGATCCTCCGCTAGCAGGGCTTCGTCGGGCGCGTCTTCGTCGAGCGGTGGTGCATCTCCCATGGTTGCTCCCCCCCGCGCCTTCCTCGCAGCCCACCCGCGGCCAACACCGACGCCCCCCCTCACGTGCTCGATCACCGTCGGAGGTGCGGGTTTTTTGCAAGGCCCCCGTCGGTACGGGGCGCTGGGCGATGGCTGGGCTTGTCGCCGGGCGAGCTGGCCCGTCAGTCGCACGGCCGCGGAGCGGAGATGCAAAATCGAGGCGGCGCGGCCCCTCGCTGCGCGCAGCCTGTCTGGCCGGCGCGCGCATGGTTCCGTAGCCCGTCTAGTGCCTCACTGACCGACTCCAGCGCCACGGTGTACGTGGCCGGTGTGGTGCTGGGGCTGGGCAGCCTTGGGGCCGGCGGAGACCGCCGTCTAGCGGTCGCACTAGTCGGATGTCGTTGTTTGACCTGTTTTGTTCAACGGTTGTTTGACCATACTTTGAGCGCCTTAATTATTAATTCGGGTTTGGGTCTCTGAGGTCGATACTAGCGTCTGTAACCTGCCACAAGCACGCTTTACAAAAGTCCTGCTGAGCGGAACGCGCAGAGCCGCCGTCCGCGCGCGCTGTGAACAGCGCCATGGTAAGGCAGTCGATAAATGTTGATTCTCGCTCCTGTAACTATTGATATTGATTATTGACAGCATCCCCTCTAACTATTGACAATATATTGACATGTCGATCGCTGATTTTAACCTCCAAGAGCACCAAATGTCGACATTTGTCCCAAACATCGCCTAGATGTGGGCTGAAATCGAAAAAAATCGCAAGTTCACAGCGATTTTAATGCGATTTAAGCGATTTTGAAGCGAGTTGGGCCCGTTTACTTTTGAACGATTTAGAGCCATTTTCAAGCCCGGGATGGACCGCCACCGCTGGATATATTGATATGCTGAGTGCAGCCCGACGGTCCTGACCAGCCCAGGCCCAGCCTCTCCTCTAACTGTTGCAATATATATTTATCTTGATCGCCTCTGTAACTATTGCAGCAAAAAAAAGAGATATCCTCGGGCGACCGAGCGGCTGCGCTACTCAGGCAGCCTCCCTGCCTCAGCTGTTACAGGCACCACCCACCGACCAGTCTCGACGACGAGCCGCGGCAGGGCTCGCTGCGCCGCTGCACAGCTTTACGCCACAACACAACATATCATCCAACGTAACCTCTCCCTTAGTGACCCACCCTTGCGGGCTCAGTTGCCGCATTAGGAGCCTTCGCACCGCGAGTGCGCTCAGGTGGGATCCACAGAGAGAGAGGTTCCATACAAAGCCGCACTCTACACACCTTACCCCCTCTACTCGGGCGGCATCGTGGTGAGACCCTGGGCAGTCAGAGAGGCTGACAGTAAGTGGCGGGCTGAGAACTCGGGCCTCTCCCGACCCGCCATCGCTGCCTAAGGGAGGATCCTATCGGCCACTAGACCATGACAGATCAGAGGCGCACACGCCCTGTCCCAGCTCCCCCACTCCTCACACTGGGTTTGCAGTGCGCGGCCTCGCCACCTCCCTACCAGGGCAAACCCCCTCTCTCCCCCTAGGTGCGGCACTTGACGTCCATAGAAGGCGCGCGGCAGAGGCGGGAGGGAGGCGGGGAGAATCTAGCTCGCTCTGGCAGGGAGGCAAGGGTGTGATAGAGAGTGTTTGGGTGAGAACAGGCGGAGTGTGTGTGCCTGTACGCGATTGGGAGAGCACTTGTGACGAGGCATGGTTAGGCGAGTGGCAGTCGCTAGTGCGGACTTGCTAAGTCGTGTGTGCTCCCTTTTGCTTGCTAAGACTGGAACATTTTTTTTACAAAAAAACTCGCCTTGGGCGGGGGGCTAAAGTAAACGCTCTCTCCCTAGCTCTCTCCCGCGGATGGGAAACATTTCGGGCCACGACACGACACGAGGCCCCGTCTACAGTTCCACAGGGGCGCTATCCTACCTGCGTACTATCTTGTACTTGCGGCGGCGACATACACTACAGCGTGGTCCGGCGGCGACGACTACCCCTGGAGCAGCGCGAGGAGCTCGCGCTTCAGCAGCGGCACCAGCAGGCCCTCGCGCTCGAGGAACATGGGCACGTTGTGGTGGAAGGTGTCGTGCTCATGCAGGGCGAGCCCCGGCGCGTGCGCGACGAGCCGGGCCTGCATCATGTCGACGGCGTTGCCCGCGCCGACGTGCACGGCCGCACGGCCGCCTCGCGCGTGCATCACCGCGAGGGCGTGTCGCACGCGCGCGGTGCACGCGCGCCTGGGCTCGGCCGGCACGTGCGCGCCGTGCGTCAGGTCCAGGTCCACCCGCGGGCCTATGAGACACTTCCTAGACACTTCCTGGACACGTCCTGGACACGTCAGGCGCAGGTCCACCCGCGGGCCTATGAGACACTTCCTAGACACTTCCTGGAGCCTTCCTGGACACGTCCGGCGCAAGTCCACCCGCGCGCCAAACGAGACGGCGCGGTGGCCGAGGTGCGCGTGCAGCAGCGCGGCGGTGCCGCCCATCGAGGAGCCGACGAGGAGGACGCGCGCGTAGCCGGCCGTGTGGGCTCGGATGAGCCGCTCAAAGTAGCGTACGCCGCCCCACCCGCCGGCTGGGTCCTGCAGGTAGTACGAGTTCGACGGGTCGGCGAGGTAGAGGGCCTAGAAGGTTGCTAGAAGGTTCCTAGAAGGTTCCTAGAAGGTTGACGGGTCGGGCGAGGAAGAGCGCGTCGACGGCCACGCCGGCTGCGCGCGCGGCGGCGCACGGCGCGGCCCACTGTTGCATGCCGGGGCCCTGGGCGGCGAAGGCGACGAGGAGGACGTCACCTAGAAGGTTCCTAGAAGGCTCCTCGAAGGCTCCTACGAGGTTCCTCGAAGGCTCCTAGAAGGCGACGAGGAGGACGTCACCTCGCACGCCCGCCGCCATCGGCTCGAAGAAGTGGTCGGTTGTCGCGAGACGGTCGGTGAGGACGTCGCGCAGCGCCGCAGGCGGCGTCCCGCGGTTCCAGCCGAGGCCGATCCGCGCCGCGCCTATGAGACACTTCCTAGACACTTCCTAGACACTTCCTCGACACGTCCCAGCCGAACCCGATCCGCGCCGCGCCGGAGTGGCCGGAGGAGGTGACTGCGCGGGCTGCGCTGCCGCTCAGCTCAGAGGCCAGCTCTGACGCCTCGGCGAGGTCGAAGGCGTTGGCGCCGAGGGCGAGGTTCTGCAGCGGCAAGTGACGCAGCACCCTCTGGCGCAGCGCGGCCAGCGACCCTCCGAGCCTGTTGGACTGGAGGTAGAGCCCCTGCAGCCGGGGGAGCGCGCCTATCAGACACTTCCCAGAGACCTCCTAGACACCTCCTAGACACCTCCCAGACACTCGCAGCCGGCGGAGCGCGCCGAGGGCGGCGGGCAGCTCCGCGAGGCGGTTGTGGTGCGCCTGGAGGACGGAGGACCCGAGATCACCCGAGATTGCCCGAGATTGCCCGAGATTACCCGAGATTGGCCGATGCGGTTGTGGTGCGCCTGGAGGACGGTGAGCGATGCGCACTGACCCAGCTCCGCGGGGAGGCAAGTCAGCAAGTTGCCTGAGTCGGCACACGGTGTGAGCCGGGCGTGCGAGATTACCCGAGATCACCCGAGATTACCCGAGATTGCCCGAGATTGGCCGAGATTGGCCGAGGCACACGGTGCGAGCCGGGCGTGCGAGCGGGAGGGAGGAGCGGGAGGAGTGGGGGAAGGGCGCGCAGTGGGTGGGCGTGGGGCAGGGATGGGGGCGGCTGTCGGCATGGCGGGCGGCGGCATGCAAGGCGGCGGCATGCAAGGCGGCGGTCTGGGCGGCGAGTGGCGGACGGCCGACGGCCGGAGGGGCGGGAGGGGCGTTGGGGGGAGGGGCGGGGCAAGTTGGCACGCGCACGGCGCGGCGGGGCGTCGTGGGACGGCGTCAGAGGGGCGGCCAGAGGCGACGCGCGCCGTGCAGCCACAGCTCGCGAAGCTTGTCTAGCCGAGATTACCGAGATTACCCGAGATTACCCGAGACTACCGTGCAGCCACAGCTCGCGAAGCTTGTCTAGCCGAGATTACCGAGATTACCCGAGATCACCCGAGGTTACCGTGCAGCCACAGCTCGCGAAGCTTGTCTAGCCGAGATTACCGAGATTACCCGAGATCACCCGAGATTACCGTGCAGCCACAGCTCGCGAAGCTTGTCTACCCGAGATTACCGAGATTACCCGAGATCACCCGAGACTACCGTGCAGCCACAGCTCGCGAAGCTTGTCTAGCCGAGATTACCGAGATTACCCGAGATCACCCGAGATTACCGTGCAGCCACAGCTCGCGAAGCTTGTCTACCCGAGATTACCGAGATTACCCGAGATCACCCGAGACTACCGTGCAGCCACAGCTCGCGAAGCTTGTCCAGCCGAGATTACCGAGATTACCCGAGATCACCCGAGACTACCGTGCAGCCACAGCTCGCGAAGCTTGTCCAGCCGGCCAATCGCCGCGGGCAGCTCCGAGAGCCGGTTGCCCTCGAGGCAGAGCTCGGTGAGCCGCGTGAGGTGGGGGAGCACCTGTTCACGGCTCGAGGTGTGAAGAGGCGCTGTTCACACCGCCTAGGCGGTGACGTGGGGGCAGCGCCTCCGCCACGCAAGTCACGCCGTTGCAGCCCAGGTGGAGCTTCTTGAGCGAATGGCCATGCTGCGCTAGCCTAACGTGCCTTTACGCCAGCCTCGGGGCGGGAAGACGGTCTTGTGCGGCGTCTTCAGAGCACCGCGTGAAGACAAGGGAGAGGAGGACAGAGGAATACAGCGGAATACGTGGCCCTCTCGGGCGCTGGTTGGGAGGCAAGAATACGTATTCCGCTTCTAGGTGGTCGGGCATCCGCGGGGCGGCACCAAGCCGGTTGTACGAGGCCAGGAGCGCCGTGAGCACCGTCGCGCGCGGGTGCAGCGGTGGCAGCGCGGTCTGACCGTTTGCCTCGAGCTCAAGCACAGTCAGGCTGGGCGATGCGAAGCCCGCGCCGGCTGCCTCCTCCGCTCCTGCGTCCGCTGCAGCATCGTCCTGATCACCGACTGCCACCGCCGCTTCCGCCACCGCCGCCGCCGCCTCCGCTGCGCCGGCCTCCACCGCCGCTGCTACGCCTGCCGCCTCCTCCGCCTCCTCCGCCTCCACCGCCGCTGCTACGCCTGCCAACTCCTCCGCCTCCTCCGCCTCCTCCTCCGCCGCTGCTACGCCTGCCGCCTCCTCCGCCTCCTCCGCCTCCACCGCCGCCGCTGCTACGCCTGCCGCCTCCTCCGCCTCCTCCGCCTCCACCGCCGCCGCTGCTACGCCTGCCGCCTCCTCCGCCTCCTCCGCCTCCACCGCCGCCGCTGCTACGCCTGCCGCCTCCTCCGCCTCCTCCGCCTCCTCCGCCGCTGCTACGCCTGCCGCCTCCTCCGCCTCCTCCGCCTCCTCCGCCGCCGCTGCTACGCCTGCCGCCTCCTCCGCCTCCTCCGCCTCCTCCTCCTCCTCCGGGGCGTCGCCCGACGGCTTCTGCGCGCCCCAGCGCAGGTAGTGGAGCCCCTTGATGCGGAGCACCGCCGCCGGGAGCCGCCGCAGCCGGTTGTGCTGCAGGTTGAGCACCTGTTCACGGCTCGAGGTGTGAAGAGACGCTGTTCACAGCAGCCGGTTGTGCTGCAGGTTGAGCACCTGTTCACGGCTCGAGGTGTGAAGAGACGCTGTTCACAGCAGCCGGTTGTGCTGCAGGTTGAGCACCTGTTCACGGCTCGAGGTGTGAAGAGACGCTGTTCACAGCAGCCGGTTGTGCTGCAGGTTGAGCACCTGTTCACGGCTCGAGGTGTGAAGAGACGCTGTTCACAGCAGCCGGTTGTGCTGCAGGTTGAGCACCTGTTCACGGCTCGAGGTGTGAAGAGACGCTGTTCACAGCAGCCGGTTGTGCTGCAGGTTGAGCACCTGTTCACGGCTCGAGGTGTGAAGAGACGCTGTTCACAGCAGCCGGTTGTGCTGCAGGTTGAGCACCTGTTCACGGCTCGAGGTGTGAAGAGACGCTGTTCACAGCAGCCGGTTGTGCTGCAGGTTGAGCACCTGTTCACGGCTCGAGGTGGGAAGAGACGCTGTTCACAGCAGCCGGTTGTGCTGCAGGTTGAGCACCTGTTCACGGCTCGAGGTGTGAAGAGACGCTGTTCACAGCAGCCGGTTGTGCTGCAGGTTGAGCACCTGTTCACGGCTCGAGGTGTGAAGAGACGCTGTTCACAGCAGCCGGTTGTGCTGCAGGTTGAGCACCTGTTCACGGCTCGAGGTGTGAAGAGACGCTGTTCACAGCAGCCGGTTGTGCTGCAGGTTGAGCACCTGTTCACGGCTCGAGGTGTGAAGAGACGCTGTTCACAGCAGCCGGTTGTGCTGCAGGTTGAGCACCTGTTCACGGCTCGAGGTGTGAAGAGACGCTGTTCACAGCAGCCGGTTGTGCTGCAGGTTGAGCACCTGTTCACGGCTCGAGGTGTGAAGAGACGCTGTTCACAGCAGCCGGTTGTGCTGCAGGTTGAGCACCTGTTCACGGCTCGAGGTGTGAAGAGACGCTGTTCACAGCAGCCGGTTGTGCTGCAGGTTGAGCACCTGTTCACGGCTCGAGGTGTGAAGAGACGCTGTTCACAGCAGCCGGTTGTGCTGCAGGTTGAGCACGTGTAGCTGCGGCAACGCACCGACCCACGCCGGCAGCGAGCGAAGCTCGTTGCACGCGAGCAACAGCTCCTGCAGCCGACCAATTAACTAATTAATTAATTAATTAGCTAATTAATTAATCGCGAGCAACAGCTCCTGCAGCCGACACAGGCGGCAGAGGGCCTCCGGCAAGTCAGAGAGCCTACGCGTAAATATACAGCAGCATCAGAGCGGGAATACGGTCTTGTGCAGTGTGTTCAGAGCACCGCGTGAGTACGACGGAGAGGAGTACGGTGCGCACAACGGAACACGCCCGAATGCGGCTGAATGCGTGTCCGCTCGGGCGCGAGTTGGGAGACACGAGTCCGTCTTCCGCTTCTAGGTCGGAGAGCAGCTTCTCGCTCGCGTCGAGATATGGGGAGATACGGGGAGATATGGGGAGATGTTCCGCTTCTAGGTCGGAGAGCAGCTTCTCGCTCGCGTCGAGATATGGGGAGATACGGGGAGATATGGGGAGATGTTCCGCTTCTAGGTCGGAGAGCAGATTCTCGCTCGCGTCGAGATATGGGGAGATATGGGGGAGATATGGGGAGATGTTCCGCTTCTAGGTCGGAGAGCAGATTCTCGCTCGCGTCGAGATATGGGGAGATACGGGGGAGATATGGGGAGATGTTCCGCTTCTAGGTCGGAGAGCAGATTCTCGCTTGCGTCGAGAACACGCAGCGCGACGCACGCGCCAACGCACGGCGGGAGCGCGCGCAGCCGCTGCCCTCGCAGAACCAGCGTCTGCAGGCTAGCAGGCCGCACGGCGGGGGCGCCCGACAGCTTTGCACTCGCGGCGAGGAGCGCCTAGGAGACATCTCCTAGACACCTCCTAGGCACCTCCTAGACATCTCCTAGACACCTCCTAGACATCTCCTAGACACCTCCCAGACACCTCCTAGACACCTCCTAGACACCTCCTAGACACTTCCTAGACACCTCCTAGACACCTCCTAGACACCTCCTAGACACCTCCTAGGCACCTCCCAGACACCTCCTAGACACCTCCTAGACACCTCCTAGACACCTCCTAGACACGTCCTAGACACCTCCTAGACACCTCCTAGACACCTCCTAGACACCTCCTAGACACCTCCTAGACAGGAATCACGGCGAGGAGCGCCTCCAGCGGCGCATCCGCTCCGAAGGACGCGTCGCGCTCCCGGGTGTACCCGCTCGCGTCAAGCGGCGCCGAGGCATCTCCCGTGGACCCGGCGGCGGCGCTGGCCGCGCTGGCAGCTGCAGACGCCGCCGTCGCAGCGGCGACCGCCGCGCGCGCCACCGCACTGGCCGGCGGCTCGCCGGCTTCGTGGAGGTATCGCACGAGCTGCGCCTGCAGGAGAGCCACGACGGTTCCACGACGGTTCCACGACAGTTGACCGTTCCACGACGGTTCCACGACGGTTCCACGGACTGCGCCTGCAGCAGAGCCACGTCGAGGCTCGCGGGCGTTGTGCTGGAGCGGAGCTCAAGCAGCTGGGAGGCGGCCGCCGCCGCACGCGACCACCGCCCCTGCGCCGACCAGATGCGCGTGAGCAGCGTGAGCAGCGGCGCCTCAGAAGGCGAGGAAGGCGCGGCCTCGGCGGACGAAGGGTCGCACGGCGCCTCGGCGCCGTCCAGCTCGGTCGGCAGCGTCGACGGCGGCGCCAGGCCGAGCCGCGAGGTCCCGCACAGCCTGGCACCACCGCCAAGGCCGTTGGCCACTCGCAAGCAGACACCCTCTGCCCGCGCGAGGTCTCCCGCGCGCAGAGCTGCGGTCGCCTCGGCGAGCAAAAGCGACGGCGGCGTGGGCGGCGCGCCTCCGGCGTGCGCGTGGGCGGAACACCTCGACGACCCGAGTGCCGTTGGCTCGCGCAGCCTGAAGATGGAAGCCGCGAGGCCGCACACCGTCGGGTACTCGTAGGGCAAGTGCGGCGGCAGCGGGAGGCCGGTCCGCTTGCAGAGCCACTCGCGCAGCCGCGCACCAGACGTGGAGTTCAGGCCCCACTCGAACAGGTCCGTGCCGCGCTCGACGCCCTCGGTCGGCCCGAGGAGGACCTCCGCCAAGCCCTCGACGACGAGCCGCTCGCACCCGTCGAGGCTGTCAGCCGTCGCCATGGCCTCACTGCCCGTGCCGCTGCCTGCCATTGGCGTTGCCCGCGTCGCTGCGGCGGCGTCCGACCGCTGCTGCACCCTCAACGCTGCCCGCTGTGCCGCCGCCCGTCGCTTCTCCGCCCGCCTCTCCACTTCGTACTCGCGAGCTCGTGGCGCGCGGAGATCGATGTCGCGCATGCTGGCCCGGCGGCTGAGCGTGGGCAAGCCCAGTGCCTCTGGCAGCCCAAGGCGTATTGGCTCGCCGTCCTCGTCGACAGAGAGTTCGGCCACCAAGGCGAGCAGCTCAGGTATCAAGCTGCGGCTTAGACCAGCGTGCGCGCAAGTGCTTCGTATCTGGCCGAGGTTCGGCCTGCAGCCCTCGGCGCATGAAGCAGCGATGCCGACCACTTCGCCCTGCTCCACGTGTGGGATTGCAAAAGCAACGACGCCGCGCAAGGCGCCACGCAGCGCAGCCTTTTCAGACGCTAGGACCGCGCGTTCGACGGACAGCAACGCGTCGGGCGAGTACTTGGGGGAGGCGTAATCGGCATCAGCCGACGCCGTACGTGTGTCCATAGGTCGCTGGATAAAAGAATTCTAGCACACGTATAATTTTTTCTCGCCTGTGTGTCGCTCGCCGCCACCTCGCTCTGGGAATGGCGCCGCCTCCCGTCGTCGTCGCAACCGCAGAGGCCGTCGCGCCCGCTGCTTCGCCGGGCGGCGTGCCTGCTCGCACCGCTGCGCTCTTCCGCAAATACGACGCTGACGGCTCAGGCGACCGCCACTCTACAGATAGCACCGAGCCATGCGGCCGCGCGACGAGAGCTAGCGTCGCCACAGCATGCGCAGGAGTGGCCCTCTCTTGTCGCTTCCGAGCGGGAGTGGCCTTCTCTTGTCGCTTGTCAGGCGGCCTTTCGTTTGCCGAGATAGAGAAGGCGCTCTGCGAGGACTTCCCGTCGATGCCTGCGTACGCGAGAGAGCACCTGCCCGTCGCCTTCAAGCAGTACGCCGAGGCAGAGACTCTCTCGCTGCCCGGCTTCATGAAGATGCATGCAGGCGCCGCGTGCCGCCGAGATGCCACCCTGCCCAGACACAGTCATACGTGACCATCGGCCGCCTGCCTCGCCGCAGCCTTCCTCTTCCGCAACTTCGACGTCGACGCCAACGGCGTCGACGCGGACCTTTGCCCGAGAAGTGTGCGGCGAGACGTGCACATGTCATGTCCGTGTGCAGGCGCGTCCCTGGCACTCCGAGACCTTCCCGTGACCTTTCCGAGAGGCGTCCGTGACACGTCCGTGACATGTCCCACGTCCCTGCAGGCGTCCTCGACTTGGCCGAGGCGGAGGCGGCGCTCACCTGGCCAGACGCCCCCCAGATGCCCCCATCTCTATCGATGCCTCCACCTCTAGCCGCCCACGCCGAGCCCCACCTCTTCACACCTCTTCACGCCGCCGGTCCGTGGAGCAGGTTCGCCAACGGCTCGCCCACACAGATCGCCGTCCCCCCCTCGCCCGGCGGTGCGGCCGCCGAGGGCTCCGGCGAGCAGCAGGGACGGCTTGCAGGCGCCACGTCCGTGACATGTCCGAGACATGTCCCATAGGCTCCGGCGAGCAGCAGGTCAGCAAGCGCTGGTTCTGGGAAATGTACAAGGCGAGACTGAGCGAGAGTCGCCGAGAGAGTCGCGGAGATTTGTGAGCCAACCCGCCAAATGAGTCGGCACCGCCCGCTTGCGCCGACGCCCCTTCGCCCGCGCCTCTGCTCAGGCGATGATGTGAGGGAGAGCACAGGTGACAGGAGCGGCTGTGCCGGGCCCCGCGGGGGTTTTGATAGAAGACAACTAGTTTGGGATGACGCGCCGAGTTGATATTCCACCCCGCTTCACTACAAAGAGACCGCCTTAAATTCTTTTTTCTCGCGATGTCCACCCCGCCGCGGGCTCACCCCCGAGGCACGGCGCGTGGGTAAGAGACGCCGAACTCCAGGAGGATCCGCTTACGCGCTTCCTACTGCGGTGGGACGAGTTTGAGGCCGGGACACGGGCGCTGCCCGACAGAAACGGGACGCAGGTCATGATGGGCAAGGATAAAGGGCCGCTCGGCTCAGGGAAGGGCCGTGAGCTCAACGCGGAGGTGGCCAGGATATGCCTCGCGCTGCACAGAGCGCGGCCATTCACGCACCTCGCTGCGACGGATGGAGGGAGAGACACGCCGAATAAGTGGGTGGGGGATAGGTTCGTACCGCGACCGGTAGTGTCGTATGGGGTGTACGAAGGGCCGGCCCGATTCGGGAGACCCGTCGAGGGATCTGGACAGCTCGAGAGCGGGGACGATGAGCTGCGGCTCGCGTTTGGGCAGGGGCTGTGGGGCGGCAGACTGCCAGACGACTGGCAGGTGATAGACGCGGAAATGTACGCGGTGCTGGCTTACCTGCGTAAGATGGCAACAGCGGAGGATGCGGCGGACAGGAGGTGCCTCGTCTTAAGCGACTGCAAGCCCGCGCTACAGCAAATCGAGGCGGCGTACCGAAAAGGCTCTCTCGAGGGGCTCAGGGAGTGGGATCGAGGAGGGGCATTAGAGGGGATATGCAGATATCGCGCCCAGCTCGAATCTGTCACGTTCCTGTGGGTACCGAGCCACGCGGGGTGCGCTAGCAACGCCTACGCCGACGCCGCGGCGACTGCATACATGGGGGCCAGCGAGATTGAGGATGCCACCTCCGTCATCCGAGGAGCAGTGAGGACACGCCCGTGCTTATACACGGACCGCCGGAGGACGGCAGGCGGAGAGTGGAGGGGAGACGTACTGGACCGGAGGACCTATTACGCCACACGCGGCCACACGAACGAGTGGGTGCGAGGACGGCTCGGCGAGGGGCTCACGGCGGGATCACACACGGCGGGGGTGCCTGGGCCGCTGTGGAGCGATGTGGTCAGGGGAACGACGAGACACAAATGGGACAAGCGTCAGCGGATCAAGGATCAGCACGGCGAGCGTGAGATACAATTCGCCGACGTGGATGATCACAACGCGGTGACAAAGACCGTCATGGGAGCGCGGGTGCGGCAGCAGGCGGGGGTGCCACACGGAGCGCACCACGAGAGGATCATGCGGGGAGAGGCGGGGAGAGAGACCCCGGGCGCCGCCACGAGGAGCGAACTCAGGGGCTGCCTCGTATGTAAGGCCGCGAGGGACGCGGCGAGGAGGGCGGCACTAAAGCGGGACCCGCTGTGCCCGATCGTGCGGAAAGCCGCGCAGCAATGGACCGAGGAAGATGAGAACCCGCCTAGAGCGACAATGGCGCACTTGCTTAGCGGCGCCTGCCCGGGGAATAGGGAGCAGGCCAGATGGTTCCTCAGAGTAGCGCGAGCGCAGACGGGGACGGCGATCAGCAAAGTAGCGCAGGCGGCACCCGACTCCAAGGATACGCTGAAGACGCTGAGAATAGCGCATGTCGCTGCGCTGAAGGGCTCACGCTATAGGGTGCTGGATGAGGACGGGTACGATGCACTAGCACCAGCCGTCGGGGGGGTGTTGCCGGCGCTGGTAGATGATCTCCCGGAGAAGAGTCGGAGGGACCTTGGCGCCGGGGTCACGAGGAACTTGCAAGTCGTGGCCGAGGCGGCGACGGGAGCGGTGCAGAGGTGGATCCAGCTCAATGATGAGGCTACGGCGCGCATAATGAAGAGAGAGGAACACATCGAGTGGCTGAGGAAGCTCTTCGCTGGGTGGAAGGAGGCCCGGCCAGCCTTGAGGGAGTCGCGGAGGAGGAGGGATAATGGAGGTAACGTGGGAACAGGCCAACAGCCAGTGGGACGAACGAGGGCGGCTCAAGCGGGAGGGAGCGGAGACGGTGGGCAGAGAGCGAAGTGGGTGAGACTGATGATGCTCCTTCGACTTAGGGAGCGGTTCAGATGCTGGGCGGGCTTCAGGCTGGTGCTCACGCGAACAGGAATCGACGCGATGTGCAAAGCATACAAGAAGGGGAGAGGGAAGAGGAGAGACGCCGGTGAGGACGAAGCAGAAACTAGCGCAGACGAGAGCAGGGCAGACCCGGGGACTGGGGAGCCGGAGCAGACGGCATCGGCCGCCGAGGAAACGTTGGGAAGAGGCACGAGGAGGGCGGCGACCTCGACCGACTATGGAGGACCCGTCGCCAGACGACGCAGGGCAGAAGACGGTGAGGCGGAGCAGACGCGCAGGGTGAGACGAGGGAGGGAGCAGGACTTTGCGGAGATCAGCAGGAGGATGTACGAAGAGATTAGGAGCAGCAGGGACCCGAGGGACCATGTGGAAGACGGCTAGTGCTAGTCCCCCATCGGGAGGACGACCCCGGCTAGTCGCCGACCACACCCACAAAGAACCCTGCACAAAGATCGCAAGGGCGGGGGCCTGTTCCTTTTTACCCATCTCACAGTAGAGAGGTGTCCGTTTTTATTTATTTATTTACCCCGCCGCGCCGCCGCTCGCGCCGCCTCGCCACCGCCTCCACCGCCGCCCCCTCGCCAAGCACGCCGCCGCCCGCCCGCCTCCTCGACCTCCCCACGGAGCTCCTCGTGCGCGCCCTCTCTCACTGCGACCCCGCCGACATCGCTCGCGTCGCGGCCGTCTCGCTGCTCTTCCACGCCTCGGTTGCGCTGGAGGGCATCCGCTTGTGGGCGCAAGAGCGCGGCTTCGAGCTGCCGGCGCTGCCAGAGGGCGAGGGCTGCCCCGTGCGGTGGCTGTGCTATTCGGCGCTGCTGTGCGAGTCCAACCCGCCGGCGAGGGCGGCGGCAGGCTCCTCCCACAGCCTCTTCATCGACGGCGAGGGGCGGCTCTCGGCGTGCGGCTCTGCGCCGCAGCACGTCAACGGCCTCCTAGGCCACGGCGAGGGCGTGACGCGGCTCAACACGCCGACCCGCCTCCCGTCGACGCTGGGCGGTGAGCGCGCCGTGAGCGTGTCGGCTGGAGGATTCCACAGCCTCGCCCTCACCGCCGGCGGCAGTGTCTGGAGCTGGGGTGCAGGAGGCGATGGCCAGTTGGGCCACGGCGACCATGAGCATGAGTGGCAGCCGACGAAGATCGAGGCCTTGACTGGCCAGCGCGTCGTCGCCGTGTCGGCGGGAAGCAGCCACAGCGTCGCTCTCACCGCCGACGGCTCCGTCTTTACCTGGGGCTATGGATACTTTGGCAGGCTGGGCCACGGCGACACGCAGAACCAGCTGCTGCCGAAGAAGATCGAGGCCTTTGCTGACCAGCGTGTCGTCGCCGTGTCGGCGGGAGGCGGCCACAGCGTCGCTCTCACCGCCAACGGAGCTCTCTGGAGCTGGGGCTCTGGAGTCTTTGGCAAGCTGGGCCACGGCGACAGGCAGAACCAGCTGCTGCCCAAGAAGGTCGAGGCGTTGGCTGGCCAGCGCGTCGTCGCTGTGTCGGCTGGAACCGCGCACAGCATCGCCCTCACCGCCAATGGAGCTGTCTGGAGCTGGGGCTATGGTAACCGTGGCCGGCTGGGCCACGGCGACATGCAGCACCAGTGGCTGCCCAAGAAGATCGAGGCCTTTGCTGGCCAGCGCGTCATCGCTGTGTCGGCTGGAGGCGGGCACAGCCTCGCCCTCACCGCCGACGGCGCCGTCTGGAGCTGTGGCTGGGGAGCCTCAGGCGAGCTGGGCCACGGCAACCAGCAGGCCCAGCTGCTGCCGAAGAAGGTCGAGGCCTTGGCTGGGCGGCGCGTCGTCGCTGTGTCCGCTGGCGAGAGCCACAGCCTTGCCCTCATCGCCGACGGCGCCGTCTTTACCTGGGGCGAGGGCAAGGACGGCTGCCTAGGACACGGAGAGGACCTGTCGGACCAGCGGCTGCCCAAGAAGGTCGAGGCATGGGTCTGAACAAGCGTAAGTCTGTAGGATGCCTGTGTTGACGAGGCCGTTCCGAAGCGCGCGTTTCGTTGTGCCATCTTGATTCCCCACTCCGCGACTTCTGATTGAGCGAGTTTATCTGAATGGCACAGCTATGGGCCCTCCCCATTTGGCGCACGATTCGGAGAGGTGTTCCTAGACTCGTCTCTAGTACACCACACTGGTTGGGTAGTAGTCTAAGTTCTGAGCCTCGAGGCTGAGCGGGTCTAAGTGTGACTAGTCACGCTGGGGTGCTTACGCGGTCTAAGATCAGCGAGAGCCTCTTACATCGGCTAAGTCGGCCGTGGCACAGCCTGGGGCCAAGAGGCTCCCACCGTGATCAACGATACGGCGCTAGCCCCCAAATTTTCTTCGCCTGCGGCGGGCGCCTTCTAATCCGGATCGATCCTTCTCATGCTCAGCAATCGCCGCCTCAGCATCCTCCTCTTCCGATTCTCGTTGCTCTTCTTGAGCGCAATCTTCAAGCCAAACAGTTCTCACAAATAGCCTCAAGCTCAAACAAACGCATGTCAAGGAAGCCTGTGTATGCTGGTCCTCTTTGAACGATCCGCGCGTGAGGTAGATCTAGCATAGGGCCTTGTTGGCAGCAGCCAGCTTGTTGCGCTGCTTCGTTGCGATGAGCTGATTGGGATCGCAGAAGTGCATGCCAAGCACCGCCACGATCTTGAAGCAGAACACATCGCAACCGCATCGTCCGCACTGCCATCGGCATGCCGCGCCCGCCGCTTCGCCGCAGCCGCCTTAAGACACGCATAGCGGCAGCACATGGTACGGTGCGCGTACTTGAGCAGGAGTTGCGCGCCGCAAGTAGCGCACTGGCCCTGGGACAAGGCGATATGGCGTCGTGCGCGGCATACGTTGGTCGGGACGCGTCCAGGTATTTTTCGGGTAAACCTGGACTTTTGCAGGTATACCCGGGTTTTACCCGGATTTGGCCTTGTGCCGTCTAAGTTCATGGCCCCCGACCATACAGCGTCTAAGTCCGAGCCCGGCTCCGTGCGGGGGCTAAGTTGAGCGCTCGCTCGCTGCAGAGGCTAAGTGTAGAGCGACCCTCTAGCCCTACTACCCAACCATTTACACCACTACACTCTACAGGGAAAACAGCCCGCTTCACCGATACGGCTTTTTAGCGGCTTTTTACACGCGACAGCACACGGAATCAGCAGACACACACCGAACGTCGCGCCCGCATGCCACAACGCAGACTTGGACCACACACCGAGACCGACACACCCCGACACAACTCGTTCGCGCGACACGCTGCTCACACTCCCCTCGCCGCTGCCCACACTGGCTCTCACTCGGCGGCACGCAAGGAGCGCCGCGCGGTGCGGAGCTCCGAGGCGAGCGGGCTCGGCGGAGGCAGCAGCTTGAGCACCGAGGAGAGGACGCCGTGGTCGGACGGGAAGGTGAGGGTCGGGAAGGGCTGCCTCTCGACGTACGCCTTTTGGCCGGTGTTGTCCTTTGTCGTCGACTCGACGCCAAAGCTGCCCCTTGGGAAGAGGAGGAAGTCCTTCGGGTTCTTGTCGCCGGTGCCCGGCGAGGCAAGGTCCTTGTACGCGACGGCCTTGTTGAGCTGCGGCTGGAGATAGGTCCGCGCGTTGAAGGTTGTGATGTTCGTCGGGTCGGGCGCGTCGCCCCAGCAGGAGGTGAGGCCGAGCTGGCGGTACTCTGCCGCGAACTCGGAGACGCCCTGCTGCTTCGCGCTGCCGACGGCGTACGTGTTTGCGTCCATCCCGAAGACATGCCGTGTGCCCGCCGGCTGCTTGGCGAGGAGCTGCGCCATCGCCTTGACAACCGGCACGGTCGCTAGCCCGTCCGTGTCTCCGTGGAAGGACGCGAGCACGTACGTCTGCCGTGGGGAGGGGGGGGGGGGGGTTCGGGTACCGTGGGGTATGGGGGAGGGTGGGTTCGGGTGCAGTGGGGTATGGGGGAGGGTGGGTTCGGGTGCAGTGGGGGTAGGGGGGGGGTTCGGGTACAGTCGGGTATGGGGGAGGGTGGGTTCGGGTACCGCGGGGTATGGGGGAGGGTGGGTTCGGGTGCAGTGGGGTATGGGGGAGGGTGGGTTCGGGTGCAGTGGGGTATGGGGGAGGGTGGGTTCGGGTGCAGTGGGGTATGGGGGAGGGGTGCTGGTGCCTGCTTCGTCAGCGCGTCCGTGGCGGACAGGACGAGCACGTCGCCGGGCGCCACCTGTTGGGGCGAGGAGAGCCGTGATTTCTCTTCTCTTGTGAGGATTAGCTAACACTAGAGGTCGTCATCGCATTCGCCTTCCTGGGACCCAGCGCTGCCTTCTGACTGTCGTTGCTGTCTCTCTCCCTTCTCGACTGTCTGTGCGTCTTGGGTCCGGGGGTTGTGTTTTTGTGTGAGGAGATCCCTGACGGTACAGCTCCGTGATGGCGATGTGAGGATGGCGATGTGAGGATGGCGATGTGGCGATGGCCCCGGCGGTGCGTGTGCATCGCCATCCTCCGCCGGTGCTAGCCCGACTACCAGGCACGACGCCCGACTCTCACCGGCTCCTGGTACCATACCTCCAGAGTACCGAATCCGGTGTGGGGTCGGGGGGGGTGTGGGGTCGGGGTGGGGGGTGGTGGTGGTGGGGGTGGGGGGGGAGGCGCTGCACCGGGACGTCACCCCCCAGGCCGGCGAGGAGTGCGTCGAAGGCTGGGTTGAGGCTCGTGGCGGAGGCCGGGTCGAACCGGCTGCGCGAGAGGAGCAGCACCGAGATCTGGTCGCGCTTGCCGTCGTTCGGCGCCACGTGCAGCGAGAAATTCCGCGACAGCTTCGGGTGCTCGCGCAGCTGCGCGACCATCGCGCCGGACACCTCCTGCAGGAAGATGGCGTCCGAGTCGGCGTAGCTATCTCCCAAAATCTCCCCATATCTCCCCACATCTCCCCATATCTCCTGCAGGAAGATGGCGTCCGAGTCGGCGTAGCTATCTCCCAAAATCTCCCGAAATCTCCCCACATCTCCCCATATCTCCTGCAGGAAGATCGCGTCCGAGTCGGCGTAGTTATCTCCCAAAATCTCCCCACATCTCCCCATATCTCCTGCAGGAAGATCGCGTCCGAGTCGGCGTAGCTGCGAGAGAGGATCGCGAGCCTACGCGCTGGAGACGCCGACATCGGGGCGGGAGATATGGGGAGATGTGGGGAGATATGGGGAGATATGGGCAGCCTACGCGCTGGAGACGCCGACATGAGGGCGGGAGGACGGTGTGCAGCGTCTTCAGAGCAGCGCGTGAGTACGAGGGGTGCGGACACATTGAATGCAGCCGGGTACGATCGAGTGCAGTGGACTACGCTGCGCTCTCGCCCGCTAGTTCGGAGGCCGGACTCCGTCTTCCGCTTCTAGGATGGCGCGCGTGCGGTGCGTCTTGCGCGAGTTGAGCGCGACGCACATCTGCCGCCGCATCGGCTGCCAGGTCTCCTTGTGCGCCCCTCCGCCGACCGTGTTGAGCATGTGGACCAGGATGCCGTCAAAAGCCGCCTGAGGGAGAGGGAGGGAGAGGGAGATAGAGGGAGATAGAGGGAGGGAGAGGGAGGGAGAGGGAGGGAGAGGGAGATGGAGGGAGGTAGAGGGGGTAGAGGGAGGTAGAGGGAGAGGGAGCAAGAGCGAGATAGAGGGAGATAGAGGGAGGTAGGAGGGAGATGGAGGCCGCCTGGCAGATGGCGGAGAGAGGGCGCGACATCGCCTCCTCCGCCTCGGTCAGGGCGGGGTACTTTGCACGCGAGATCTTGCCGACGAGCTGGCTCGGGGTCGCCTCCTTGCCGGAGGCGAGGGAGAGCTTGGTGTCAAACATGAAGCCCTTCCACTGCGCCCACCACTGCTCCATCGAGGCAAACTCCGCGCCGTAGCAGTTGATCGCGGTTGGCCGCGTCGCGGTCTGCCCGCTCGCGAGGTTGATCGTGTTGGTCGTGCGGTCGGGCATCGACATCAGCCGCTTCTTGCCCAGGTCCTTGTCCTTCATGAAGCCCGCGATGATCTGCCGGCCCGCATACTGCGACCGCCACTCGGCCACCGCCTCGTCCACGTGATCCCACCCCGCCTCCGTCATCTTGGCCTGCAGCTCACCCAGCATCGCCTGTCCCACGCGACGGCCGCAGTGAGGCCGGCGCTGCGCGTCTGCGCCTCTCCCCTCTCCCTTCTCTCTCTCTCGCTGCCTCCGTGAGCACGGTCGAGACGGCGACGTCCGCGGCGCCCGGCTCGTCGAGGAAGGCCTGCACGTCCTGCATCATCTGGTTGTATTTTGGGTCGTCGTGAGTGATCCAGTACTCGAACGGGTTGTTGTTGATCGCCGCGACGTTCCACGTGGCCACGCGCAGGTACGCCGGATCAGGCAGCGTCGCGGCGCGCCGGGCCAAGCCGCGGCCGGCAGCCGCGGCCTCGGTCGGCGCGGCGGCGGCCAGAACACACGCGAGAAACAGCATATACACACACACGTGGACTCAGGCGCCGCCTTGGCGCGTGCACGCCGCGGCCGTCGTCTTTTTATTTTTTGAGCTTAGCCTTCGATGTTATGAAAACAAACGCAAGGCGGACATGGCATATCGCTCTCGGGCTCACGGACATCCCTCACACCCGCCGCACACCCGCCGCCCCCGCGCGCGCCCCACCCCGGCCGGGAGAAAGGGGAGTGACAGTTTGGGATTGCAAGCCCGAGTATGTTGAGTCCTGGCTCAACAACGCAGATAACAAGAGGGGGTGGTCCGGCTCACAGGTCCGGCTCACGCGCCTCGAGCTCGCCAATCTACCGCACTGAACACTTCCGCCCCCTCGCTCCCAACCCACCCACCTCGCCGACCGCAGAACCGCGCGATCTCGGGCGATCTCGGGCCGCGCCGCGCGATCTCGGGCGATCTCGCGCTATGTCGGAGCTCCACGCCACGCCGCCCCCCCCCCCCCCCCACCTCACCCACCGCCGCGCCGCGCCATCTCGGGCGATCTCGGAGCGTCGCTCGCGCGGCGTCACACCTGCTCAAAAAAAAGGAAGGGCCTGGTTGGAGCCACGGGGCTCACGAGGACGTGCTCGCTCGGTTCTCGCCGCCTCGCCCTGCGCCACTTGGGCCGGTGAGGCGGCGCCCCGCGCGGCGCGTCCCTCGCCCCGTCACGCCGACCCCTGCGCGCACCGCTCATCTTCAGCCCTCTCGGGGTTACTCTTGCGCTCACGCAGGGGAACCCGGCGGTACTCCCTTCCCCCCACCTCCGACGGGTTAGGTCGGTTCTGCGCCCCTTGGCGCCTGTGCATGTCCCGCGTGCCCGCCTGCCAGGGCTGATGCCAAGGCCAAATCAACAACATGCCCGGCTGATGCCAGGGCCAAACCCACTGCCCGGCTGTAGGCCGGACTTTTTATTTTGAGCTTAGCCTTCGATGTTATGAAACAACGCAAGGCGGACATGGCATATCTTTTTATTTTCCCTTGCTGCGGTGTTCGTGTGCAGTCGTTGGTCGGACTGTGTGTTTCGCCTTCCTATCATTCAATCAATCAATCAATGCGCGGGCAGCTCGAAGCCGCGCTCTTGCGCCCACAAGCGGATGCCCTCCAGCGCGAGTGAGGAGCGATGTCGAGGGGGCCGCCGTCGAGGCGAGAGATGGGGCGCACGAGGAGCTCCGTGGGGAGGTCGCGGAGGCGGGCGGGCGGCGGCGTGTCTGGCGAGGGAGCGGCGCGGTGCGGCGGCGGAGAAGTCGGCGGAGGGGCCGTCTGAATTCGGACGCCTGTGCCACCCTCCACACACTACAACACACAGTGTACTAGCACGGCGCATCCTGCGCCGTGCCCCCAATGTCAATACTCGAGCTTCCTTGTGCTCAATCTTGTCACGGTCCTACGTCCCTTGCGAGCGTTCGCGTGAAGCAGTGCTTTGATCCTTTACAGTCCTACATAGAGCCAACCACCCTCCGGCTCTGAGCCTCCGCGCTCAAACGTGGTTCCTCCGGTGAGGTGCAAACCGCCCACCAGGCCATGGCGGACAAACCCGCCACGCCCCAGCGCGATGACATGGCCACCGTCGCACTCGACACCGTCTTACTCGACGAAGAGCCTACAGCAGATCAGGTCCTTGGACGGGCCACTTCACACCAGCCTGGCGCGGTCTACGTAACAACTGATTGAACCCTCCCGCACCCACTCCCCATACCGACACCATGTCTGGGGATGGGGAACCGACGCGCGGGAGGGATCATTTTGCGTTTTTTTGTGTTTTTTCTCTTTCTTGGCGGCTCTTCCGCGCCAGGCTGAAGCGCTCCATAGCCTCTCCTCGCAACGACCACACAGCTCGCCATGCCGACCCGCAGCGCCGCTCGTGCGACGGACACGTGAGCAGCACCCACCGCGCCCGTCCCTGCAGTCCTCGTGCTCATGGACTTCGTGACATACGCCGGCGCCGCCGCTATGCTCTGGATCAACCGTGAATTTCTGATGCTGCACGGCAGCAACGCTGTCACCCTCCCAATCGCCACCGCCATCTTTGTCGTCACCATCAATTTTGTCCGCGGCCTGCTCATCGCCGCCCGCTTTCTCACAGCCTACGCATGCAAAGGGTACACTGCCTCTTGCGCTCTCGCGGCGGCTTGCGTGGCTCGCGTCAAGACTTGGGTCGCCTTCGGATCTGAGTCGCACCAACGCTCCATCAAAAGCTCCGTCTGTGATGTCCACATGGCACCCCGGGGAGAAGCTTCCCACGAGGGGGGCGAGCTTTCGACGAGCCGTTTTGCCGGCTCAATCGAGATCAGTTTGAACGACAACTCGCTTGAGACAGAGGAAGACGTTACCGCCATCGCCGCTCAGCTAGCCGCCGCCGGCTTCGATGAGATCGAGCACTCCTCTGGCGTCGCCATCCCTCGCCCTTCCGAGGATTGCACCGAACCTTCGTGGCTCATCGAGGCCGAGCGCATCCTCTTCGAGACATCCGAATTCGCGTCAAATCTCGAGGGTTCTGCCTTCGAGCGGGCCGATGACGTCCCGGATATCGCCGCGGATCACGTGTCCCTGCTCGGCTCCACATCGCCGTCACCATCTACCCCGCCCGACAAGAGGCGCGAGACGAGCGACGTCAACGACCGCACACCGCCGAGCTCGTCACCAGCGGCGCCTGTGACATCTCCGGGCCGCCACCTCGCGTCAGCACCGAGTGGTCTGTCCCGAGCCTACACGGAGTCCTCTGGATTTTCACTTCATCAACAACTTCATCGCCGGCGCCGAGACACGGCGCAACTCAACTTCAAATTCAACTTCAAATTCAAATCTCCCACCCTGCCCCAGCCCAAAACAAAGGTGCCGGCGATGCGGACCATCTCGTGTTGGGGGGGTGTGCTTCGGTCGAGTCTACCGGTCGCCGCCCGACTCCGTTGCCGTCTGCTGCCCCTTGCGTCCTTCATCCTGCCATCGGCTGCGGGCCGACGCCGACGCCTCCTGTCGGACCTCTCCTCCGGGGCGCCGACCGTGGGGGGGCCCGGGGGAAGGGGGCGCAGCCCCCGACCTGGCTGCCGAGGCGCCAGCCGAGGCTGTCACACAAGAGGCCGAGGCGACAGCCGAGGCCACTACCCAAGGTGGAGCCGAGGCGACAGCCGAGGCCGCCGCCCACAAGGCCAACCATAGTCTCACCCCATCCCCAGGGCCTCCAGGGCTCGCACCTCAACCTCTCACAGCCAGCGCACAGCGCCATAGGAGATATTTTCTTCTCAATAACAAGGGAGGAGTTTGGCGGACTACGGGGATCGGCTTCTTACACAGCCCTTCCCTGCAGCGAGCCCCCCTCCAACCCACCCGCGCTAGGTCTCGGGGGACGCAGGGGTCACACCCGACAACCTCTAGAGGCTGTGAACGCTACCCGGGTACCCAACGCGGCCACTGTGTGCGGCTCAGTACAGACCTGCTCTGCTAGCATGGCTTCGTTGATGGAAGTGCAGCACCATGGTGGACGTGCATGACGATGCCTGCCTGCGCCAAGTTGCGAGCGATCTGACGGAATGCAGCTACGCTGTGCTGGACGGCTTTCTCGGTGATCGTGCGGCCACCCTCCTTCGGGAGCGCTGCCTCAACATAGGGCGCTCCACCGCCTCGCCCAGCGGCTTCGAGGTGCTGACTTCGAAGCTCAGCACGCTCGTCGCTAGTCTTGGCAAGTGCGGAGCGGATGAGCTGGCGGGAATTTCGCTCTCATCGTGTGCTCTGTCGTGCTTGAGGGCCGGAGGCGGCCAAGGCAAGCACGTCGACCTCCCAGGTCGACATCCCGGGCGGCTCTCTGTCGTCTACTACCTCCAGGAAGATAGCTGGGACGCGGCTTCCAACAGCGGTCGCCTGCGCATATACAAATCGAGCAGCGGGACCGAGGCGCTTGCGTGCGATGAAGCGGGCGCAGATCCAGACGTGGTCGCTGTCGAAGGCGCACTCGCGGACATCGCGCCCATCCGAGATCGGCTGGTGCTCTTCTTCTCCGATGACCGCTGCCCTCACGCGGTGTCACCGTTGGACGCGGCCTCTGGAGCTCGATACGCCGCGGTCGTTTTCTGCCAAGCGCATGGGAGCTACGAGCGCGGTGGCGAGGAGGAAGACGTCGTCTACGACTGGGAGGCGGAGCCGCTGCGGCTGTCGGAATCGTGCGAGCCCACGGACACGGCTGCTTACTCGTCGCCCATCGACGAGCGCTTGTGTATGCTCGAAGAGATCTACGAGGCGCTGGGGCCGACGGCTACAAACTTTAGTGGGCTGGGCAGCGCGGAACTGGCGCTGCTGAGCTCCAAGGAGCACGGCGGCGAAGGGGCGCACGTCTATGGAGACACCGAGGGCGAGCTGGTGGCGCATCTGTTTGGGGAGATGCGGCCGGTGGTAGGCGCTGCGGAGGAGGACGTCGTAATCTGCGACCTCGGCTCTGGCAACGGCAAGCTCCTCCTGCAGCTGGCGCTGCTGACGCCCGCGAGACGGTTGGCAGGTGTGGAGCTGTCCGCCACCCGGCACGCGCAGGCGACGGCTGCGCTCGCCCAGGCGGCCGAGCGGCAGGTCCTCTCCCCAGCGCGCGCCCGGAGCATCGAGCTCAGCTGTGGGAGCATGCTCGATCACGCCGCGCTGTGTGAGGGCACGCAGTGCTTCTGCTACTCCCTTGCCCTGGACACGCCCTTCATGGAGGCGCTTGAGGCTCACCTCGCCCGCACGCTGCCAATGGGGGCGCTCGTTCTGCTCCGCGGCAAGCGCTTTCCGGGCGGCACGTGGGCTGAGCCGGGCACGGGCGCATCGCGGCGAGGGATGCAGCCCGTGCTCGAGACGCGCATCGTCAATCGCATGCACCAGTTCTACGGTTACCGCATAGCCGATGCTGGCGCCGCGCCGCCTGACGGCGCCGCGGACGCCGCAGCCGAGCTGCGGCTGCTCGAGCTGGAGCAACGTAGCGCTCCGCTCGCTGCCGCAACGTCACGCGAGTTCGTGCGATCCTTCTTTGCGCCGACAGAGCCTGATGTCCATGAGCTTCCTCCTTTGTTTTAATCCGTGGTGTCAAAGTGCGCGCCAGTCCCGTGCCCAGTGTCGTGCGAGGGAGTTGGGTTGTAAAATTCTCTTTTCAGGCGCGCCAGTCCCGTGCCTAGTGTCGTGCGAGGGAGTTGGGTTGTAAAATTCTTTTCAGGCGCGCCAGTCCCCCGTGCCTAGTGTCGTGCGAGGGATTCAATGATAAAATTCTGCTCCTGTGGTGCGGGCGACGGCTTCTGAGGAAGCCGTCGCCCGCGCCTCGCCTGTCGCGTGAATCGTGTCGTGCGACCGCCTTGGTTCTAAAATTCTTTTCCTGTTCGAGTCGTTCGGTGGGTTTGGGAAGGGGGTCGGCGAGATCCTCTGGGGGGCGGCGAACGTGCTGCAGAACAAGTTGACGCGGGCCCATTACCTCGATGAGGTAGAGGACAGATGGCTGAGGGACGCATTGGGGCGACGCCGACTCGCGTTATCATAGTTGAGACACTTGCAGGCATCGTACGACGGCGCCACCGGAACGCCCTCCTTGCGCCGGACGACACGCCGGACGTGCGAGTTGACACGATCTACAACGAGGCGCGCCGAGCTCTAATCCGGACTTACGCCCACGCACACCCGCCGCCGAGCTATCGACGAGGAAAAGGCGATCCGCCTCCGAATCCCGGGCTGGCAGCCGTCGCCAGGGGAGGGGCCCGTTGCGGAGTGGGAGACGGAGTGGCTCGCCTCAGGTTTCTTTTCCAGCGAAGGCGAGTGCGCGCTCCCCGAGACGCTCAAATCTGTCCGAGGGGTGGCGGCAAACGGCTGCGCGGTGAGCACAGTCGCACTCCTCTGTGTAGCGCCTCAGGGTGAAGGGGGGGCATGCCGGGTCAAGCTGAGACTAATGGTAGAGGCACCAGGGGTCGTTCTTCGCCCACAGCAGCAACTGGCAGAGCAGGCGCAACGACGCCCGCCCGACTGGGTGGCATACACAGACGGGTCGGAGGACCTAGGGAAAGCAGGGTGGGCCTATGCAGTACTCATCGGGGGCGACGCCATCGGCGATGAGGGCGCGTCGCTGACGAGCGAGGGCTACGGGCCAGTTGTCACTTCGGCGGCGCACACCCAGCCTACCTCGGCGCGCGAAAGCATACCAACAACACGGCGGAACTAACCGCCCTAGCCGAGCTCCTCCGGGCTCTCCTATCCTCGTCACCGCAACAAGCGGGATCACGCGGAGTAGTGCGGACCGATAGCGAGTACGCGGCGGCATGCATGATGGGACGGGTGACCCCCAAAACGAACAGACGGCTAGCGGAGCGCCTTCGTTCCCTCTGGCGACGCCTTCGCGCCAATCACACCGTGACGTGGAGGCATGTGGCGGGTCACAGCGGCAACAAATGGAACGACTACGTCGACGAGCTAGCAGCTCGCGGCAGGCAGGGCGACAGAGGCTCAAACGCTGCCGAGTGGGCGGACGACACCATCCCGACGGACACTCCCGACGAGGAAAGCAACGCGGAGGGAAGCGACAGCAGTACCAGTGGACACGGAGCAACAGGCAGCGCCCAGGACTCGGAGAGAAATGATGATAGCGACGCCAACGGTGGACCTGCTACACCAACGGCTACAGCCCCAGCCAGCCCTGACAGCCACCCCTCGCCCGCCACCGACCCTAAAGCCGCACCCGTCGCTAACCCTCGCCGTTCCCCCCGAGTTCGAACGATATGGTCCGAGTATGTGCCGAGCGAGCAGGCGAGCGGGGAGCACGATGCGTAATTGCCCTCGATGTTGACCCTCCCCCACCACCACTCTCCCCGGACGACGCCGCTCTCGCATCTGCTATGGTCTCGCTCTCGATACACAACACGCTCGCCGACTTGGCAACAAGGGTTGACTCCATCGCGCTAAGCGACGAACCTGCCCCCGCCCCTCGGGGCGGGGGGCCCCGCCCCCCCCGGGGGGCCCTTTGGGGCCCCTCCAGGGGGCGAACCCTCCGGGGAGGCCGGCTTTCCCCGTGCCGGTTCTCCCCAACCAACCCCGCCGGCAGCGCGAGCTGCCGGCCACATTGAGCGGTTCGTCCGCGTCGCGCACTCGTCCCAACCGGGGGCCGCAGACTCGTTCTGCGCGCCAACGGCTGGTGACGCTGTGTTGCCCTTGAGCTAGTCCTTCCCCGGTCGCCTAGCCTCTGCGCTGTCTGGCGAACGCCTGTATGCCATGCGCGCGGACCACGCTTGCGTGGATACGTGGCTGGCAGGCTGACCCGTGTGCGGGGTAACCCGCGCACGGGGAAGCTTCACGGGTTCGAGTCGTCAAACATTAAGCAGCGGAGGTGTGCCGAGGGGGACCGGGAGGCGGTAAGTCGTCGTTGCCCGGCGCTGCTTGCAGCACCATGGCGATGACGCCAAGAGGTTCCTCTTTTCCGCGCCCCCCCCGCAAGGCGCGCGATACACGCTCGTTTACCCACGAAAAGACGAGGCCGAGGGGGGGGGGGGGGGGTCAAGTATGTTACATCATATGAAGCCTGGAGAGCAGCTCCTCTGCTGCTCACACACTCTGCACAGTTGGCATCCTACTGTCTGAATACGTTTTCCACGTATTCCAAATGACCTCCCAGAGGCCTGTATTCCACCCGTATTCCACCCGTATTCCACGTATTCCATGGAATACGCCGTATTCCAAGCTCCAAAAATGGACGTATTCCGTATAAAATTTTCTTCGCTCCGCGAATTCAGACAGTAGGGTTGGCATAGCATCCGCTCGCTGGTAGCGTGCTTTTTTACCTCACACCCACGTCTCACAGTGTGCCCCGGCAGTCGCCGAGCAGTGTCGCTCACACAAGCCGCAGCACTCAAGTGACTGAGGGCCAGTGAGGGCGAGCCCATCGCTGTCACAGCTGTGCGGCTGCCACTGGTGTGAACGCTGCTCGCAACATGCGTGTCGCGCACTCATTCATGACCGGTCTCAATGCCCCACCCCCCTGCGCGCGGGCCTTCTAAGCCCGCGGGTAGTCCCCCCCCATCCCCAGGGCCTCCAGGGCTCGCACCTCAACCTCTCACAGGCCAGCGCACAGCGCCATAGGAGGTATTTTCTTCTCAATAACAAGGCTGTGAACGGTGACTCGAAGATGTATGCACATCTCGGTCAACGCCTCTGCTCGCGGCGCGAGCTCTGTCCCCCTTCGGCCTCGCACCGCCTGCCTACTCCCGCTCGCAGGTACAGCCGCTGCCATTGAGGAGGGCGCGAGACGCGTCCGCTGCTGCCCATTCCCCACCCTTGTCCCGCGCGACCGCCCTCCCTCTCTTCTGGCAAGAGAGCGACCCGCTCTCGCTTGCTCGCCAATCGCCGCCCGGCTCCAGTCCGAGCGCCGAGGACGCGAGCGAGCGTGCCGGCGGCCCCACCTTCTTGCCTCTCTGCAGGAATTCGTTCGATCAACATGCTCAAACTCGAGTTCGCGCCGGCCGCCGGTGACAAGCTCGTGCTCAAGCTCTCTCCTCCGCCGCCGCTTGCTGACAAGCAGGTGTGCGTTAATTTGCAGTGGCTGGGTGAGGGGTATGCACGCGCGCGCCGCTGCAACGCACGCAACGCTGCGTCTTCCCTGCAAGACTACCCTCTCGCGTTCTGTGGCTGACAGGCGTCTCTGGCGGACAACACGACCGTCATCGACTCTGGCGGAGGCAACGCCGTCGGCATCCCCTCCGAGCCCGTCTCGCTCAACGATGGCATCGACACCGGCACCGGCGGCACCGGCACCGCCAGCACCGGCACCGGCAACGTCCCGTCCGAGGGCGAGCCCGGCCCGCTCAAGGACGGCGTTGACGCGGGCGGCGGCAACGTCGCGGGCGAGTTGTCGCCGATGAAGTCCTTCGCGAAGGTCGGAATCGTGCCGGCTGACGACGGCCGCATCACGCTCGTCATCTCCGCGTCGGTGTCGCCGTCGCTCCTCGGAGCCAAGGTGCGCGTGCGCACGCCAAGATTGTGATCATCCCTCTCCCGTCTCCGAAAGCCTGCGCGTACTCTCTTCGCCCACAGGCGTGCGGCATCAAGAACGTCAACATCTCCGTGGCAAAGTCTGGCCCGGAGGGCGTCCTCAAGAAGGACCCGGCCGCGGAAAAGGTGCCCGACGCGGGCGCGGTCGACTCGGACAAGGCCAAGGCCATGTTCACCGCCCACGAGCCAAGCCCAAACGCCGTTTTCTGGTCCAAGTTTACGCGCCCGACCGGCCCACCGACGGCCCCCACCGGCGCCGACGGCGCCCTCAAGAAGGACATCCCTGCGGCAGAGTCTGGCGCGGAGGCCTGCGTTGACGAGACCGGCGCCATCAAGAACCCGGCGCTCAAGCCAGTCACCAAGGTCGCCATGGCCCTCAAGCCGGCGGAGGCCGGCGGCGCGCCGGTGCCGTCGATCAAGGACTTTCCGGAGGAGGAGCCCGCCCCGGCGGCGAGCGCCTGGCATTCTGCACGACGGCGTCTGCCGGCCCACTCCCTGACCCCGTCCCGCGTTCGATGCGTAGGGCGACGCCGACTGGAGCGTCTCGACCAAGGAGTTTCCAGAGGAGGAGCCCGCCCCGGCGGTGAGCACCTCCCATCAGCACCCTTCTGTGCACACGCGGGTATTGTGGGGACACGCGAGTCCCACAGGCGGGCACTTACATTGACCCTGTGACCTCTCGTCTGCCGCACGTCACGCGCGCGCAGGGCATCGACGAGTGGAAGACCCCCTCCCCGCTCCGCAAGATCGAGCGCAAGGGCGAGTCCAACCTGGTCGACCGCTCCAATACCACCAAGAACCTCACCCCGTTCGGCCGCGTCGACCCCAACGGGTTCGCGGCTCTGCTCGGAACGGACGCCGACAAGGAAGACCTCGCTGGCGTCGGCTCCGGCGACGCGTCTGTCGGCGACGCCCCGCCGTCGTCGTCGACGCCTTCGGCGCGTACTGCCTTGCCCGTGCAGCGCGCTCTGCTCGCCGTGCAGGAGACGGAGCCGACCTCGACGCGCTCCGGCTTCCGCTTCGGCAAGTTCTGCTCGACAAAGCTGCTGTGCGTCTTCTTCTCCGTGGTGATGATCGGTCTGGGCTGTTCGGCCGTTGCTCTGTCTTCCTATGGCTCTGCCGGCGTCTCAGAGCTCCTCGACGCGGTGTCCGTGCCCGACGCGGTCGCGATCCCGGTGAGCCGGGGCAGTCGGAGAAGTGGCAACTCCGTGCACTGACGGTCGGCCGCCAGAAAACACGCCTCCGTGGCTCGGGTTACACCAATCCTCGCTACCCAACGCGGCCAAAGGATATCCACCTCGAGAACCTCGAGAACAGCGATTGTAGGAAAATGACGAAAACAAAAATGACGAAAACACTTGACTGACCGGCCTTCCGACTCGCGCCTCTGCCTCACTGGCACTATTGTAGCCCTGGCCGGTGCGCGTGCTCAGTTGAAGTTCCGGAGTGAAAATTCGAACGCGTTCTCTCACGGTGACCAAAAAATGTCCACCTCAGAGGCACCTCCGGAGGCAGGCCGCCGCACGCCGGCGACACAGCTCCAGCTGTCGAACTGACCCGCAGCTCCTCTCAGAGCGGGAACTGTGACAAAAGTTGACTGAGGCGGTTGTCAGGAATCATCATACGGATCACATGGTGGCTCTCTTATGACGGGAGACCACCCGACCACTCCTGGGTGGCACTGCCACCGGTGTCGCTCGACGTCCTGTCGACAGCGTGCCGACAGCGACACAGACCATGTGGGACGCGTCGAGTATCGACCCCTACTGCTTACCCAGCCTTTGAGTGTATCCTGGCTGTGGTCCCACACCCACTGGTGTCCATCTCAGAGACCGCAGGAGGTCATGAGGGTCGATGGGAGTGCCGACCCCACAATGCCTAAAAACCCAGCCCAGTACTCTAACCCCGCGCTATCGCCGTCCCAAACTGTCCCTTTTACCGGCCGGGGCGGGGCGCGCGCGGGGCATGGCGCGGGGCGGCGGGTGTGCGGGACGTCTGTGGGCCCCCGAGTGCGCTTTAGCTTGTTGTTCTAACATAACACAGCAGTCAACAAAAACAGTCGTCCGGGTAAACAAACAATTGATGGCGATCTGAATCAGCCAATCATGGCGAGCATCTGCGAGACGAGGCTCCTGTCGGCTGCCTCCTCACTATCGAGCACGGTGAGCAGCTCCTCCTCAGACACCGACGAGAGCGCGGGCGGCGACGCGGCTCGACACCGCTTGCGCTGGTGGCGGATGGCTCCCTCCCGCACGACGGCGCTGCGTGCGCTGCTCGTGCTGCTCGAGCTCCGGCGCACCATCTCCGGCTGCGCCTGCGGCGGCTCGTCGAGGGCCTCGGCCGCCCCGGTCTCAGAGACCGAGGGCGACTCGCTGCCGTGCGAGTAGGTAGCGGAGTCCGCGAGCGCCCGCTTGCGCCGGCCGAGGCAGCCGCCGCTCTCGAACTGGAAGATGCCCCGTCCGTCCGCCCCGGCGGGGACGTCGACGCCCACGTAGATGAGAGCGTCGCAGCCGCTCGCGGCATCCTTGACGCGGACGAGGCGGACGACGTACCGGTGCGGAACGACCACCGACTCGTCCGGCGCCTCTTCCATCGGGACGCCCAGAGAGGAGAGGCCATGCACGTAGCTGCTGGAACGCTTCATCGAGAGCATCAGCACCTCGTCGGCCTCAGCTTGGGCCACCTCGCTTGTCGAGTCGACCGGCGACAGCGGCGCATGCAGCACTCGAGCCATGGCCCGTAGCATAGGCGTGCGCTCTTCGTCGCTATCCACCAGCCGCCATAGCATGCGTGCCAGCACGTGGGCGATCGAGGCGTGCTCCAGGTCGTTCTCCTTGTCGACGCCGCGGTTGGCGACGTACTCGGTCATGGCAGGGTTGAACGTGTTCCAGACTCGGCCGCCAGATACGACGCCCACGTGGACGAGGCAGTGAGAGTTGAAGAGGTCGGAGACGACGGCAGGCATGCTGGACACTGCGGCCGGTACGACAGTCGAGTCCTTGACCGCCACCTCCGCGTGTGTGAAGCCGAGCCGGCCTGCGGTTTGCAGCGCAAAGTTGGCCAGGCTGGAGCAGCTCCGCACTCCTGCGACGTCGAGCGTGACGTTGAGCGCTGTCCGCAGCAGGGAGCGGTCGTAGAAGATCCCAGAGACGGCGTACGTCAAGAAGTTGGTCGAGAGAGAAGCGAAAGAGACGAAGGCCTTGCCGAGGCCGATACTTCGAGTCGCGAGACCCTCGGATGAGTCCGCAGACAGCTTATGAGGCACCGTCAAGCACCGGTAAAGGAACTCAGGCGCAGACACGCTGGGGAAGGTGACACATGAGCCTTCGACCGTGCCCGCCAGCGGCGGCGGAACACCGCGCACGCCACGGTGGGCCGGATCCGTCGACGGTTGCCACCCGACCAGCTTGCCATCGGCTTGCTCACGGACGGTGATGCGCGACATCGAGCTAGGAGACGTGGACTCGCCCTTGCTCCAAACAAGCGCCCTTGGACGTCCACCACTTCCGCGCATTTGCAAAAAAGTAATTCGCCGACGCTAGCGGCCCAAGGAGGTTGCGTGGTGGCATTGGGCAAAATGTGTGCAGGTTCAACGAAACCTGCAACTCCGAGGCCGCGCGTATTAGGCTGTAGTCCGCGGGCTATAATCCGCGTATTAGCGGGACGTGCGTGGTGGCTGGTGCGTCTGACGAGGGAACCGAGGGTGTCTGAGGACTGAGCTCTGAGTATGACTAGTGTGTAGTGACTTTAAATAACTTTGAAGTAGTGACACCGCAGGCTCCACCGGCAGCTTTTCCAGCTCCGGTGTCACAGTGCCAAGGGACCAATTGCTCCCCCCCCTCGGGAGGGCCGAACTGAGGCGCCCGTGGGGACCCCACAATTCCCTTCCCCCCTCGGAGGGGGCCGGACGGAGGCGTACCCCGAGGGCCCCACTCTTTCCTTCGCATAGCGGCCACTCTTCGGATCGCTGGTCGAGCGACCCGGGGGATGCCCCGCGCGCCTGACCCAGGCGCGAAAACGAATCTGCGAGGCGTGGCCGCACATGCGGCCCGATGGGGAGGAACGGGGCGAGCCCCCTCCAACCCACCCGCGCTAGGTCTCGGGGGACGCAGGGGTCACTCCCGCGCGACCTCGGGAACTAGCCGGGGCAGTCGGAGCAGGGGCAACTCCGTGCACTGACGGTCGGCCGTCAGAAAACACGCCTCCGTGGCTCGGGTTACACCAATCCTCGCTACCCAACGCGGCCAGGATATCCACCTCGAGAACTTCGATCACCAATTTTTCTCACGGCGTGCACGAGAGAACAAGAGAAGCACACGATTTTGCGATGGCCGAGCCCACCGTCGGCGTCTGCTGGACGCGCAACATGGTCACCTTCGCGCTCGACAAGCCCGGCTTCGGCCTCGTCCCTCACGAGTGGGGCGAGCTCCACACGTCGGTCGCGACGCTGCTGCTCTCGGGCGCGCGCGTGCACAGCTCGCCTCTGTGCTGCCGCCGCGCCCTCGGCCATTGCTCGCGCCGCCCCCCTCGGCCGTCCGGCCCCGCGCGCCCGCCACCCCGCACGCGCGCTGCTGCCGGCGCAGCTCTGCAAGCGCCGAGCACGCGGCATGACCCGCCCGCGCGACCCGCCCGCCGCTCCGCACCACCTCGCCGCGCACCGACGCGCCCTTCCGCGGTGCGCGGTGCAGGCGAGGTTGGCGTGGGCAGCTGCGTCTTCACCGAGGCGCCGCGCCACGTCGTCGACCGGGCGATGCGCCTCTGGACGGCGAAGCGGCCGGGGCTGCAGGCCGCGCACAGCGCGCCGCACTACGGCGTGGAGGGAGTGCCGTCGGGCTCGCTCTTCGACTTCGTGCTGCCGACGTCGGACGCGCGGTCGCTGCTCGCGGGCGCCGCAGAGGCCATCGGGGAGGGCGGCCAAGTGTCCGCCATGCTGACCAAACTCGAGTCTGCCAACTTTCGAAACAAGTCCTCCCCCCGCCCTTGTCGCCACAAACCGCGCCCCTCTCGGCCTGTCAGCGGGGCGTCTCTTCACCCCCCCCCCCCCCTCCCTCCTGTGAACAGGTCCTCCCTCGCCACCAAGCTCCTCTCCCGCACGGGGCGCCTCGCCAACCTCGCCGCCGCACCCTTCAACGTGACCCCTCTTCTAAATAAATAGAGCAGACATCTCCAGGAGAGATGGGCGACGCACGAACACAGAGGGACAGTGCGCACCCCGCCCCGCTCGCAGGGCGTGCAGCACACAGCAACACAAGGCATATCTACGCTGTGCGCCTCCTCGTGACCCCTCTTCCTCGGCCTTAATTAATGAACCGAATTCTTTGCCTTTCATTGATACCCCAACTATGGTTGCCTGATTAGGTGACCCTCTTCCTCGACGACGACACCTTCTTCTGCCCGCCCCCCCTCCCCTACACCGCCACCCGCGCCGCCGCCTTCGAAGCCGCGCGCCTCCGAAGCCGCCACGCCGCCGGCAGCCGAGATCCAGCCGAGATCCAGCCGAGATCCAGCCGAGATACAGCCTCGAGATCCAGCCGAGATCCAGCCCACCGGCGGCGAGATCGGCCCGAGATCGGCCCGAGATCGGCTCGAGATCACGCGGAGATTGCGTCGAGTCTAGGTATCGAGCCTGCCTCCGGCCGCGGCGGCAAGGTGCAGCCGCGGTGTACGAAGCGCTGCCAGCGCGCCTACCAGGTACACACACACACACACACACACGCACACGCACACACACACACACACACACACACGCACACACACACACACACACACACACACACACACACACACACACACACACACACACACACACACCCACACACACACACACACACACACACACACACCCACACACACACACACACACATTACCTTACCTTACCTTGAATGCCGCGGGACTCCTGTCGTCTAGACGTTCGTGGAGTCGCGAGGGACTAGCCTGGCCCTTGCCCCACCACCTCGTGTGTGTGGAGAAGCGTACCTTACCTCACCGTACCTCACCGTACCTTACACCCCTCACCTCCCCTTGCGCCCACCAGGCCGAGTTCGAGCGCCGCATGACACGCCTTGACTCGGAGCCTGTGCGAGGGAAAGGCCTCTCCTAGACACTTCCTAGACACTTCCTAGACACTTCCTAGACACTTCCTAGACACTTCCTAGACACTTCCTAGACACTTCCTAGACACTTCCTAGACACTTCCTAGACGACTCGGAGCCTGCGAGGGAAAGGCGTCGCGCCCAGCTGCGCTCCTCACCACAGTCGGCTAGTCACGCTCCAGCAATGAATGGACTAAGGAGTGACCTGCGGGGACAACAAAGGCCTCGCCGAGCTGCTCCGCGCTTCGGCGGGCGGCGGCGGGCCGCTAGCGCGAGGGGCGGCGCGGCGTGGCAGCTCTGTACTGAGCGCGTGTGATGTCTGTCTCTCTCTCAGGCGGGCGCTGAATTAATTAACCAGCCGAATCAGTCGCCGAACTAATAGCCCAATTCATGAGGCGACCCCTCCTTTCTGCCTCTCAGGCGGGCTCTGAATTAATTAACCAGCCGAATCAATCGCCGAACTCATAGCCCAATTCATGAGGTGATCCCCTCCTTTCTGCCTCGCAGGCGGGCCGCTCGGGCGAGAGGGGCCGTCGGTGCGGCGACGCTGGCGGGGGCAGCCGCGGTGAGGCGACACACGTGATGACACCCCAGCGACACACGCGTGGCAGGCGAGATTAGCCGAGATTACCCGAGATTAGCCGAGATTACCCGCAGGCACGCCTCCCCGAGATTAGCCGAGATTACCGGCAGGCACGCTCCCCCCCCCCCCCCCCCCCGGTTACCCACGCGCACTGGGCCTCGCACTATGAATGCCGCACGGCTCCTGTCGTCTAGACGTGGAGTCGCGAGGGACTAGCCTGGGCCTCGCCCCACCACCTCGTGTGTGTGGAGAAGCGTACCTCACCTCACCTTACCGGCACGCGGCGAGATCGAGAGAGTGCAGCCGGGGAGGCGAGGGGAGATAGCGGTCGCAGAGCACACGTGGCTCGTGGCACGCTTGCACGGCCCGCGGCAGGCGCGGCAGTCTGGGAACCTTGTAGGAACCTTGTAGGAACCTTCTGGGAACCTTCTCGGAACCTTCTCGGAACCTTCTAGGCGCGGCTCGTCGAGCGGCAGCTGTGGAAGCGAGCGGTGGACAAGGGGTACAATGCCACCGCCGAGGCGTGGAGGCAGGAGGGCGGAGTAGGCTCTTCCTCTCGGGGGTATTGATGAGGAGCACTTGGAGCACTTGGAGTGCAGTTATTAGCCTCACATCCAGGGCCGGGGAGCTAAGAAGCGCACCCAGCGGGCCGGATGATCGGGATCGGGTTACGGGCTAGAGAGCCCTAGCCCTGAGGGGAATGAATTACGCCGAGGCGTGTGGAGCCAGGAGGCGCTGGCGCGCTGCCTCGCGACCGAACCTCGCTGCGCCGCCAACCGGCAATCTTGCCTCGCCTCGGGCTGGGCTGCCGACGGCAGCCAGCTCCGCCCGCCCGCGCCGCCCCCCCTTCTCTCCGCCGCGAGATTGCCCCCGAGATCACGCTCTCCGCCGCGAGATTGCCCCCGAGATCACGCTCTCCGCCGCGAGATTGCCCCCGAGATCACGCGTGACGTCGAGTGTAGGCTGCGCCGGCTGCTTGGTCGCGTGCGAGGTCAGTCAGTGTCAGTGTGTGACACACACCTCCTAGCATGGAGGACGGGCCACACGCACACACACACACGCTGCACACGATTGGCTCGGGAGCCGACACGAGGCACACTGCCACCGGCCGTAGCACGAGGTGCTCAGAATTAATCACTCCGCTCCTGATTCATCATCTCGTGAGGTGAATCAATCAGTATCACGGCCGTATCACGAGGTGAATGAATCCGTCCGCTCCTCCGGCGAATCATGAGTTAAAGCGAGGTGTTAATGAATGACGTTAATGAATGACGTTAATGAATGACGCAATGAATGACGTTAATGAATGACGTTAATGAATGACGCTAATGAATGACGCTAATGAATGACGCCCGCCTGGCCCCACGTGCGAGGACGCGGTGGGCATCGCGGCGGCGCAGGGCTCCGTCGCTTGCCCCCCCTTCTCGCAGCGCGCTAGGAGCCTCCCAGGAACCTTCCAGGAACCTTCTAGGCTCCGTCGCTTGCCCTCCCTTCTCGCAGCGCGCTAGGAGCCTTCCAGGAACCTTCCAGGAACCTTCTAGGCTCCGTCGCTTGCCCTCCCTTCTCGCAGCGCCTAGGAGCCTTCCAGGAACCTTCCAGGAACCTTCTAGGCTCCGTCGCTTGCCCCCCCTTCTCGCAGCGCGCTAGGAGCCTCCCAGGAGCCTTCCAGGAACCTTCTAGGCTCCGTCGCTTGCCCTCCCTTCTCGCAGCGCCTAGGAGCCTTCCAGGAACCTTCCAGGAACCTTCTAGGCTCCGTCGCTTGCCCCCCCTTCTCGCAGCGGGTGGGCGGCGCCGAGAGCAGCATGCGGCGGCAGGTTGCCTTTGCCCTCGGCTTCAACGGCGGAGCCATCCTCATCTCTACCGACCGACCACGCACGCCGCCGCTCTCGCCGGCGCAGCTGCGCATCCTCTCTGGGGGCGGCGGCGGAGGCGGCGGAGGAGGCGGAGGCAGCGGCGCGGCGCGGTTCGCGTCGGACTGGGTGACGTGCCGCCCCTCTCGTGGCATCGACCAACGAAGTGATGCATGCGCACTCAGCATCCGTGACCTAGGTGCGACGGCGTACCCCTCGCGACGGAGATCGTCATCTCGGGGGCAATCTCGCGGCGGAGATCGCGACTAGGTGACGGCGTACCTCTCGTTTTGGTCGAAGGGATGGGAGGCGCAGCTGGAGAGGAACGGTGCAGTGGCGATGCTGGTAGTATAGTAGCAGTAGCAGTTAGCAGTTAGCAGTAAGGGGTTGGGGTTGGGAGGCGCAGCTGGAGAGGAACGGGACGCGGGACTCGGCTCTGGCCACGACACGCCCACGACAGCGCCCACGACACGCCCACGACAGCGCCCACGACACGTCCACGACACGTCCACGACACGCCCACGACACGTCCACGACACGCGCACGACACGCGTCCACGACACGTCCGCGTCCCTTCCCCGCAGGGATCGGCTTCGCAAAGGACCAGGGCCCGCTCGGCGCCATCGCGGCGACGCAGTGCCTCAGCAAGGAGAAGACGCGTGCCAAGGCGCGAGCCGGCGGCGTGCCCGCCGAGTTTGAAGACTACTCCTCGCGCAAGGACGCGTTCGGGCGGTGGAAGATGGCGCGGAGCGTCGGCGTCGGCACGTAGCGTTCGTTTAGGAACCTTGTAGGAACCTTCCAGGAACCCTCCAGGAACCTTCTAGGCGTCGGCACGCTCAACTACAACTGGTCGGTGGCGCCGCTGCAACCGGGGCTGAACCGCCGGCTCGAGCGTTTCTTCTTCGGCAAGCTCGTGCAGCCGACGGCGGTGGCGAAGGCGTTGGGCGGCGTGCCGCAGGTCGGCTACACGCACATCGTCCACCACCACCACGCGTACGACGACTTCGGCGGCCTCGCGGCGCTGCACCGCGCGTGCGCCCGCGCAAACGAGCCCGGGGTGAGCATCATGTGAGCGAGAAGCCGGTCCGGGAGGCGGCCTCTGACTGTTCGCGCGGCGTCTGTCAGAGCTGTCGGATGCTTGCGGGCTCGCGTCTGGGGAAGCGGGCGGGGAGGTGGAAGGGAGCAGGTGTTCTTGGGTGAGCGAGTGAAGGGCAAGGGGTGGGGCGTACACGCACGCCGGGACACCATCGCATGAGAGCAAAATAAACCTTCTGGAGAGCTTCCCCCACAGAGACACCCAGCCGAGACCCGGGGCGAGAGGTGGATGGCGTGGCCACACATACGGTAGCTACCGGTTACCGCGCCACACCTGCTGTATGTGCCACCGGCCCACCCTCCGTCTACTCGGCGGGGTTGCAGCTGCCTCTGGAAGGCACCGAGAGGTTCAATAGTCAAAATCAAGGTTTTGTAACGCGAGCAGTGCCACAGTGAAATGGAATTAGCCAGGCTGCCATCTGGCGCAGCTGCAGCCGTCTCACGACTCACGTAAGAGTTCCGGACTCTCCGCCGCCAAAGCCATACCACACGTCTCCGCCGCCACCGACCACCCTTGGGCCGTCCACCCTTGGGCTCTAACCCGCCGTGATGCCGAATCCTCTCCTCGTTGAGCTCCGCGAGAAGCCTGAGCATCCCCTCCTTGTGCAACTGCGAACTACGCTGGCTTCTCACTGCCCCGGCGCCCACGCCTCGACCTTCTTGGGCAGCAGCTGGTTGGACAGGTCCTCTCCGTGTCCTAGGCAGCCGCTATCGCCCTTTCCCCACGCAAGGACAGCGCCGTCGGCGGTGAGGGCGACGCTATGCACGGATGCAGCCGACACAGCGACGACACGCCGACTCGCCAAGGCCTCGACCTTCTTCGGCAGCAGCTGGTTCTGCTCGTCGCCGTGGCCTAGTCGGCCATCGCCTCCCCAGCCCCAGCTCCACACTGCGCCGTCGGCGGCGAGGGCGAGGCTGTGTTCGCCTCCAGCCGAGACAGCGACCACGCGCTGCCCTGCCAACGCCTCGACCTTCTTGGGCAGCAGCTGGCGCTGCTCGTCGCCGTGGCCCAGCCGGCCAAAGGCTCCATAGCCCCAGCTCCACACTGCGCCGTCGGCGGTGAGGGCGAGGCTGTGCCTGCTTCCAGCCAGCACAGCGATCACGCGCTGGCCAGCAAAGGCCTCGATCTTCTTCGGCAGCAGCTGGTGCTGCATGTCGCCGTGGCCCAGCCTGCCATAGCTTCCCAAGCCCCAGCTCCAGACGCTGCCGTCGGCCGTGAGGGCGAGGCTGTGGACGCCTCCAGCCGACACAGCGACGACGTGCTGACTCGCCAAGGTCTCGACCTTCTTGGGCAGCAGCTGGTCCTGCTGGTCGCCGTGGCCCAGCTGGCGAAAGTCTCCATGGCCCCAGCTCCAAACGGCGCCGCTGCTGGTGAGGGCGAAGCTGTGGAAGCCTCCAGCCGACACAGCGACGACGTGCTGGCCCGCAAAGGCCTCGACCTGCTTGGGCAGCAGCTGTTCCTGCTCGTCGCCGTGGCCCAGCCGGCCATCGCCTCCTGCACCCCAGCTCCAGACGCTGCCGTCGGTGGTGAGGGCGAGGCTGTGGTACCATGCAGCCGACACGCTCACGGCGCGCTCGCCGCCCAGCGTCGACGGGAGCCCCGTCGGCGTGCTGAGCTGTGTCACGCCCTCGCCGTGGCCAAGGAGGCCTATGTGCCAGTTCTCAGCCGCGCCGCACGACGAGAGCCGCCCCTCGCCGACGATGAAGATGCTGTGCCGAGCGCCTCCCGCCGCCCTCGCCGGCGGGTTGGACTCGCGCAGCAGCGCCGAATAGCACAGCCACCGCACGGCGCAGCTCTCGCCCTCTGGCTGCGCCGGCGGCTCGTAGCCGGCCTCTCGCAGGCGCAAGCGGATGCCCTCCAGCGCAAGCGAGGCGTGGAAGAGCAGCGAGACGGCTGCGACGCGAGCGATGTCGGCGGGGTCGCAGCGAGAGAGGGCGCGGAGGAGGAGCTCCGTGGGGAGGTCGAGGAGGCGGGTGGGCGGCGGCGTGGAGGGCGAGGCGCTGGCGGCCGCGAGGTGGCGCGAGCGGCGGCGCGGCGGGGTGGAAATACAAAATACGAGAAAAGCAAACTCCCTCGCACAACTATCGGGATGCGGCCAGGAGGGGGTAGGGTCAGAGGGACTGCACCCAAGGTGTTGAGGTGAGCACCTAATGTAGTGTGGCTGTGCATATCGCGTGCCCGCCCGCCAAGGCTGGTGCCAAGGCCAAATCAACTGCCAAGGCTGGTGTGCCAGGGCCAAACTAATTGCCTGGCTGGTGCCAAGGCTCAAAGGCTCTTCTAGGGTACCCAAACTCCGGGCCGGTGTGCGGGGAGCGAACCTTAACGACCGCCCAGAAGCTTTCTGAGCGAACCAATCGGGCCAGGATCATCAGCATATGTCCCCTCCACAACATCGTGGGCGTTTGAGCGGTATTTGAGGAGCACCGCCACTCTGAAGTTCGGCCGGGTGGTCTGCAGACCCCCCCCCCGGAGCAGCAGAGGCTCCGTGGGGTCGCAGAGTCGACGCTGGGAGTCGGACTCGTCAAACCGTCGCAACACCACGCGGTCCGCACGTACCTACCACATCCCCTCCACCGCTGAGAAGGCGCAGATCGACCGCCGGGCCGCGAAGCCGTCGTTAAGGAGCGGTTTTTGGAGCCGTACGAAGAGGTCCCAGACGGGCGAACATGCGGTTTTTCGATGACCACGCGCGATGTGGTATCTGCTTTTTGCTAAAAACGGGCCGCCTAGTGCAGCATCACTAGTAAAACACGCAACCACACTGAGAGCTCCACACTAGCCGGTATAGGCGAGAACCGACGGCGTCACGGTCGCCGGAGTGGACGCACTGCACACACACTGTGACCGTGTCGACGGTGTGACAGTGCGCGACACAACCGTCGGCGCCGCGCTATCGCGGCGCCCCGCAGTCTACACGCCTCAGGTGCACCCCTGAAGGCGCCATGAGCGCGCAGGCACATAGCAGCGCCGCGCCAAAAGGTCATTCCCTCACCCGACCCGCGGCTCCACCGCGGCTGCAGCGGTCCGCTCACCTGCAGAGGGCAAAAACGTGTAGCTTAACAGACGAGTTGTGACGATCAGTGCTGGCGGAGGCCTCATCGCCGCGAATGTTGCCAGTCGCAGCGGGATCTGACGTCGCGTTTGAGGTGTGCATTGGCGGAGGGGTCGCATGGCTGAGAGAGGCAGAGGCAGCAGGCGGGTGGTGGGGCGGCACCTGTTGCTGCCATGGGCAGCGCCGAGCCGCGGCGGAGGTCGCTCCGTAGTTCTGCGTTGAGCCGCACGAGTGCGCCGACCCGTCGCGAGGTGCCTGCGCGGGAGTGATGTCGCGCCGATGGCTGAGTACGCGGTGTGTGAGCGGCTTTGCGCGCCGAGAGGCGGCGCGAGAAGGCGAGCGGGCGGGCGCGCCGGTGGTCGGGCACCGCGCGCTGCGGCTGCAGCGAGCAGGTGGCTGGCGCGGCGAAGGCGGGCAGCGTCGCGGGTGGCGCCACCGGCTCGAGGTGGGGTCCTGAGGTGGCTTCAGCCTGGTCTGCTCGAGCGGCACACCCGCCGCGCTCGCGATCCGCCACCTGTGGGCGGTCACCGGGGTGACGCCACGCCTCAGCTCACGAGATATGGGAAGGGCATGGGGTCACGCGGGCCCTGTCTGCAGCAGCAGTGCTAACTAAAACGACAAAATTCCGGATGGACCGGAGAGTGGCGGCGCGATCTACGCACCGTCCTCGACGCCGCCAAAAGCTGGCTGGTGGTCGCGCGCAGCGCGTCAGCGCCACTCCGACTGGTCGGGCACCTCGGCTGGGTCCATCAGCACGAGGCCTGCCCCGTCGGGGAGCCCCGCGAGCGCATGTAGCCCCACCCCATGCCCCGCCCCAGATCGCGCTGTTTCGCACGAAAAGACGACGCGCCAAGGGGGGGGTCTAGTTTGGGTACCCTAGACTCTCCTTGAGCACTTGAGCACTGGATAGGGTCGATTCCGCATGGTACGGGACCCCTCGATCGTCTCGCCCTCCCTCTCTGGTGTGTTCATTGGGGGGGGTCATCACAAACACGGTACAGGATCGAGGTGCACGCTGCCGAAGCAGTGTCGTCCCCCCTCTCCCCCCGACGGCGATGCGGTGTGGCTCTCCTCTCCATCTCTCCTCCCTCTCCGCTCTCTCAACTTTCTCCCTCCCTCGCCCCTGAGACTCTCAATATTTTCTGCCGCAACAAGGGGGGGGGGGGGGGGGGCGCCCTTCGGCGCTCGGCGGGCTACGGCTTTACGCGCGGCTGTCCCCCCCTGTCCACGCTCCAGCAACCAGCATCAAAGGCCTCGACCTGCTTGGGCAGCTCTGCTGGCGATGGTTGCGGGTCGCCGTGGCACGATCTGACACAACGCGAGAAAGCGAAAAACAGCACTCTACACGGTACATTCATGTCTGTCGGGCTCGGGGTTCGGACATCACAGCCATAAAAAAATCTTTTTTATCGTCGCGAACCCTATGACGACGTACCCATCCGTCCGGCCCGCCGTCGGGGCGGACGATCGCCTCACCTGGTCCGCGCCGCGTCGCACGACGCAGGCGAGGTCACTGCAAACCAACGCATGCGCGTTGGTCTCATGTCAAAATTCGTTCGCAGTGTTGAGCAATGTACGCCGCAGTACCTCAACTCTGGCACAGTCCTCGAGCATGCTCAGGGCTCCACTGCCAGCCACAAGTCGGCCTCAAAGCCGACTTGCGGCGGCTCGGCAGCAGCACACGGCGCGGCTTCACTGCGCTGGAAGGGCGACTGGCGCCGACAGGTGCCGACAACCCTCCACTGTGCGTGAGGCCGTACACGGGTTGCTTGCTGTGCTGCTGACTCTGGGGAAGCTCGGAGCGGCAGCGACAGCGCTCACCGCCGGTCAGCCCGCCGCAATCGTAGCGGCTGCGCCCGCTCGATTGCGGTTTGTCGCGCCGACCTCGCCGCGAGGCGAGGTAACGGGTCCAGCATGTGCCAATCGCACATTCTGTGCGGTTCCACGTGCACTCATGGCGGCGACGACACGCGGGGGGCTGGGCGTGAGCCGCAGCTCCCCCGGGCCAACGGGGGCCTATCCCGGTCACAGCCAGCAGGGGCATACAATTCCTGTACCCAGAGTTACTTCACCGAGAGTAGCGAGATGCAATCTCGCAGAGCAGCTGCTGATGGCAGCCGGGCCACTGCTGTGGCTCTTCGGCTCTATGGCTCTCCTTGACTCCGTGGTTCGGCGACTGCCCTTCACACCGCAGCCTGCGGCCGCCATCCCAGTAGGCATCCCCGAGTCAGCCTCTGCATGGCCGCCCTCCTCTCACCACGCCTCTGCGCGCTTAAACTCCATCCACCAATGCCCGGTGCACACACGGTGATTCACACCCTCTCACGAAAAACCGCGCTCCTGCTGCCACGGATAGCTCGCAGGAGGCGCATCAGCGCTTTCAAACGCGCCCGCAGGCACGCCCGCAGGCGCGTCAACAATGTCCCAGTGCCCACCCACGGCTGCGAGTCGCCCAACCCCGCACGCACGGTCCCAACCACAAATGGACCCCGTCTCGCGTTCCCCACCCCCGCCGAGTGACAGCCTGCCGGATGAGGCGCCCTAGGGCTCGCACTCAGCCCAACAATCAAGCCAGTCACTCGGGGTGCCAACACTAACTCAACCGCCGAGATTGACCCTATGCAAGCGACCAGGCGCAAACAGGCGCAAACAGACCTCGGTCTGAGGCGCGCCACACCGCCTTCGGCACTCGCCCGCGCCCGCGATCCCTCGGACGCGTTCCACCCGCGCCCTCACCAACCAAATCCCTCGCCTGAAGCACGCTGAAACCGCCAACGCGGCCGATATCACGCGAGATAGTCAGAGCTGACACACAGCTCCATTCACACCTCGAGACCAGAGGCGACTACCACGCTCGACAAAGCCCCGGAACCCGTCCCCACCACCGCTTGCCTACCCTCCGCGTACGGCGACACCCCGACACGCCACCTCGGCAACACCCCAACATCGGCAGGCAAGATTCACGCCACGACGGGCAGGCAAGATTCACGCCACGACGGCGCCCCACCCACACAGACTGGACAGGCCTGCTCTCGGAGAGGGGGGCTAGGGGGCCAAATCCACGGCCACAACCCCCTAGAGGCAATGGAGCTGAGAGAAGGCGCTCGGCTGCAAGGGTAGCAGAGCACCACTCCTACGCCCACGCCCCCTCAAAGACGGCAGAAACAGTCACACGCAATTAGTACATGGCCCAGCTCGCGCCATCGCCCACACTCGAGCTTTGCAGCGCGCGGGCTCACACTCTACTATAGGCCCCCTCGACGCCCACTTCGAGTTCTACTCAGCTAAGGGCCGCACTTGACGCTGTAAGCAGCGCGCGGCGAAGCAGTTTGGCGCTTGTGGTGAAATATGGGAATCTAGCCCAAGGTCGGAGAGTCGTGTCATAGAGAGGAGAGAGTGTGTGGAGATGTTTTGTGCGGGATCAGGCCCGAGTCCCTAGTGTCGCCGGAGCAGGTAGCTCCCTTTTTCGTAAAACTGAACAGTTTTTTTTTGACATCACAGCCATGCATCAGTCTCATCCGTCCCGAATTCGCCCCTCGCAACTCTCGCATACGTCGCAGGTGGCGAGCGTCGGAGGGCCGCCCAAGCCACCACCAGTGCCGGCGGCGCGAATAGGCACGTGTGCGACGCGGCAACACGGAACCTTGCACCCTTCGCCCTTCTCATCACTGCCCCGGCGCCCACGCCTCGACCTTCTTGGGCAGCAGCTGGTTCGACAGGTCCTCTCCGTGGCCTAGGCAGCCGTGTTCGCCGTGGCCCCACGTGAAGACGGCACTGTCAGCGGTGATGGCGAGGCTATGCTGCCACGCAGCCGCTACGGACACGAAGCGCTGCCCCGCCAAGGCCTCGATCTTCTTCGGCAGCTGCTGCAGCTGCTCGTCGCCGTGGCCCAGCTGGCCTTCGTCTCCGCTGCCCCAGCTCCAGACGGCGCCGTCGGCGGTGAGGGCGAGGCTGTGCCCGCCTCCAGCCGACACAGCGACGACGCGCTGCCCTGCAAAGGCCTCGACCTTCTTCGGCAGCTGCTGGTTCTGCGTGTCGCCGTGGCCCAGCTGGCCCACGCCTCCCAAGCCCCAGCTCCAGACAGCTCCATTGGCGGTGAGGGCGAGGCTGTGCGCAGTTCCAACCGACACAGCGACGACGCGCTGGCCAGCAAACGCCTCGACCTTCTTCGGCAGCAGCTGGCGCTGCTCGTCGCCGTGGCCCAACCGGCCTTGGCCTCCCCAGCCCCAGCTCCAGACAGCTCCGTTGGCGGTGAGGGCGAGGCTGTGCCTCCCTCCAGCCGACACAGCGACGACACGCTGGCCAGCAAAGGCCTCAACATTCCTGGGCAGCAGCTGGCTCTGCCTGTCGCCGTGGCCCAACCGGCCTTGGCTTCCAAAGCCCCAGCTCCAGACGGCACCGTCGGCGGCGAGGGCGAGGCTGTGCATGCCTCCAGCTGACACAGCGACGACACGCTGGCCAGCAAAGGCCTCAACCTTCTTGGGCAGCAGCTGGGTCTGCTGGTCGCCGTGGCCCAGCTTGCCCCAGGCTCCACCGCCCCAGCTCCAAACGGCGCCGTCGGCGGCGAGGGCCAGGCAGTGGAAATCTCCAGCCGCCACGCTCACGGCACGCTCACCGCCCAGCGGGGAAGGGAGGCGGGTCGGCGTGCTGAGCCGCGTCACGCCCTCGCCGTGGCCAAGGGGGCCTGGAACCTCCTCAAGGTCCTCCTCGTCCTCGTCCGCTGTGCCGCACGACGAGAGCCGCCCCTCGCCGTCGATGAAGAGGCTGTGCTGACGGCCTGCTGCCGCCCTCGCCGGCGGGTTGGACTCGCACAGCAGCGCCGAATAGCACAGCCACCGCACGGCGCAGCCCTCACCCTCTGGCAGCGCCGGAAGCTCGAAGCCGCGCTCTTGCGCCCACAAGCGGATGCCCTCCAGCGCAAGCGAGGCGTGGAAGAGCAGCGAGACGGCCGCGGCGCGAGCGATGTCGGCGGGGTCGCAGTGAGAGAGGGCGCGCACGAGGAGCTCCGTGGGGAGGTCGAGGAGGCGGGCGGGCGGCGGCGTGTCTGGCGAGGGAGCGGCGGTGGAAGCGGAGGCGAGGCGGCGCGAGCGGCGGCGCGGCGGGGTGGACATCGCGAGAAAAAGAATTTTCCGCGAAAAACTAACAAGAATTTTATAGGCGGTCGCACGACACGATTCGCGCGACAGGCGAGGCGCGGGCGACGGCTTCCTCAGAAACCGTCTCCGCGCTCACCCACTCCCCACCCCGACATCCCCACCACAGTCCACACCCCACAACCCCGCCCCTAACCCGACCCGAGCAAGAAATTCAGCAAAAGAAATTCTGCGCCCGCGTCTTTAACTCCAAACTCCGGGGCGGGGAGTGTTTTTCTGGCTGAGCTGCCCGAGGGAGGCGGCATTGCGATGCCGACGACGGCGATGCCGACAGTGACGGCCGCAAGTTCGCCGCGGAGGGCGGCCGCGGCGACGGCGAGCCGACGTCGGCGACGGCGAACGCTCCATGGAGTGCGGCGGCGGCGGCGGCGAGCTCATCTAGTCTCACTGCCCCGGCGCCCACGCCTCGACCTTCTTGGGCAGCAGTTGGTTGGACAGGTCCTCTCCGTGGCCTAGGCAGCCGTCCTCGCCCACGCCCCAGGTAAAGACGGCGCCGTCGCCGGTGCGGGCGATGCTGTGCCCGCCTCCTGCCGACACAGCGACGACGCGCTGCCCAGCAAAGGCCTCGACCTTCTTCGGCAGCAGTTGCTCCTGCTGGTCGCCGTGGCCCAGCTTGCCGCAGTCTCCATCGCCCCAGCTACAGACGGCGCCGTCGGCGGTGATGGCGAGGCTGTGGTGGCCTCCCGCCGAGACAGCGACGACGCTCTGGCCCGCCAAGGCCTCGACCTTCTCGGGCAGCAACTGGCTCTGCTGGTCGCCGTGGCCCAACCGGCCTTGGCCTCCATCGCCCCAGCTCCAGACACTGCCGCCATCGGTGATGGCGAGACTGTGGCTCTCTCCAGCTGAGACAGCGACGACGCGCTGGCCAGCGAAGGTCTCGATCTTCTTCGGCAGCAGCTGGTGTTGCCGGTCGCCGTGGCCCAACCGGCCAAAGGCTCCATTGCCCCAGCTCCAGACAGAGCCGTCGGCGGTGAGGGCCAGGCTGTGCATGCCTCCAGCCGACACAGCGACGACACGCTGCCCTGCAAAGGCCTCGACCTTCTTGGGCAGCAGCTGGTCCTGATGGTCGCCGTGGCCCAGCCCGCCCCAGCTTCCCCAGCCCCAGCTCCAGACAGCTCCGTTGGCGGCGAGGGCGAGATTGTGGCTCCGTCCAGCCGACACAGCGACGACGCGCTGGCCAGTCAAGGCCTCGATCTTCGTCGGCTGCCACTGATGCTCATGGTCGCCGTGGCCCAGCGCGCCCAAGCCTCCATGGCCCCAGCTCCAGACGCTGCCGCCGCCGGTGAGGGCCAGACAGTGGTACTCTCCAGCCGCCACGCTCACGGCGCGCTCGGCGCCCAGCGTCGACGGGAGGCGGGTCGGCGTGGTGAGCCGCGTCACCACCTCGCCGTGGCCGAGGAGTCCTGAATAGAAGGTCGGCGCAGTCGGCGCATTGCCGCACGACGAGAGCCGCCCCTCGCCGACGACGAAGACGCTGTGCCGGTCGCCTGCTGCCAGCCTCGCCGGCGGGTTGGCCTCGCACAGCAGCGCCGAATAGCACAGCCACCGCACGGCACAGCCCTCGCCCTCTGGCAGCGCCGGCAGCTCGAAGCCGCGCTCTTGCGCCCACAAGCGGATGGCCTCTAGCGCAAGCGAGGCGTGGAAGAGCAGCGAGACGGCCGCGACGCGAGCGATGTCGGCGGGGTCGCAGTGAGAGATGGCGCGCACGAGGAGGTCCGTGGGGAGGTCGAGGAGGCGGGCGGGCGGCGGCGTGTCTGGCGAGGGAGCGGCGGTGGAGGCGGGGGCGAGGCGGCGCGAGCGGCGGCGCGGCGGGGTGGACATCGCGAGGAAAAGAATAAAAATCCGGAGTGCTTGAGAAGGCATTAAACAGCACGCGGACCTTTTCTTCTTTTGGGCCATCGCTGGGCGCGCGTGAACGCCGGCAATGTCGTCGCAGCCCATGACCGAGGAGGAAAGAGCCGCGTTTCAGGCGGCGGCGCTCGCGCGTCTTCGCAATCCGCCGGAGAGGGTCGTCCCGGACCGGCTCTTCGTCGAGGCGGCGGTCGAGCTTCGGATCCAGGCAGCAATGACCACTCCATCGACAACAGCACGCTCCCCCGACTCACCTCCACACGAGCCTGATCGTCCACGCTCTCTCTGCGTGCGCCTCGCCACGCCGCTGCGCGGCATCTCCGCCACGGCACAGACCTTTCCCCGAGCCGTCTCTGACTGTCTCCAGGAGTACGACGTGCTCCAGCGGCTGACGCAGCAGGACTACAACGAGCTGATGGACGAGGTGGTGGCCGGCACCGTCGGCCGCATGACCGACGAGCGGCGCGCAGAGCTGCACGCCGGAGACCTCGAGCTCATCCAGCAGCGCGTCGGCGTGGGCGTGGATGCGTGCATTGCGAGGTATGAGCAGGCGCAGCAGCCGCTCCGCTTCGTGCGGGGCGACCGCGTGGTGTGCAACATCGGAGGCGACTGCCCGTGGGCGAGCGGCACCATCCAGGCGAGACACACTTCCGAGACACTTCCGAGACTCTTCCGAGGCCCTTCCGACGAGACTGCCCGTTGGGCGAGCGAGCGGGCGAGGGAGGTTGAGTGGTGATTTGGTATCGGTGGAGACGGAAGCATGCATCGCCGTGCAGGCGAGGAGTAGGGCCCGACCAATCCTGGGCAGGAGTCACCAAGTCAGGCGTGTCGGCCCTTGCATCACAGGCCACACACGAGGAGGACCCGGCCGACCCTACCGGCCAGACTGTGCTGCCGTACGTGGTCAAGATCGACCCGCCCGACGGACGGCTCATTAATGAAGTTAATTCATTAGTTTCCATTCATTCATTCAGGTCAAGATCGACCCGCCCGAAGGACGGCTCATCTCTGTGCCGACGGACGAGGTGTGCGCGTGCGCCGCGCCGAGGCGCTGAATGCATGGGCGTTGAAGGGCTGGCGTTCCGTTCCTTAGGTCTACGTGTGCCGAGCCGAGGTTTGCTTTGGGCAGCGGGAGGTTCGCGCGTAGCCGAGAGGCGAGATATGGGGAGATGTCGATGAGGCGGCGCTCTGCATGGGGAGATATGGGGAGAGGAGCCGCGAGAAGCCGGGAGCGAGGAGCCGTGCTCTGCCCAGGACAGCGACAGGTTCTGCCTCGGGGAGGGGCGCCTCACACAAAGCATTCTATGAAGCCGCGCACTAGATGGCCCACGTGGGCGTCGTACTGCTTGCCGCCAGCTCGTTGGCCGGTCACTAGCTAGTTAGACCAACGACTGGGACACCAGAGCGGTCACTCACTCGCTCGCCACTAGGATAGACCAACGACTGGGACACCAGAGCGGTCACTCACTCGCCACTAGGATGGGCTCGAGTGGACCTCGTACTGCGACTGGGACACCAGAGCGGTCACTCACTCACTCGCCACTAGGATGGGCTCGAGTGGACCTCGTACTGCCTGCCGCCGCCCGCCGCCAAGCCCGCCGCCAAGCCGCGCCGCTTCGCCGCCGGCGATCGCGTCGCGTGTGCGGTGGAGGACCCGTCCGACGCGTACTCCGTCTGGGCGGCCGGGACGGTGGGGGCTGCCGCTTGCCCTGTAGACTGCACTGCACTGGATGCGCGCCCGCAGGGATCGGCGGCGTGGTCTCCGCCGCCCCCGTCGGCCCGGTGTGGCAGAGCTCGTTGAGTCGGTTTGGTGGTGTCTGTCAGGTTGTCGCCGTCGACGTCCCTCTCGACGAGGCGAGATATGGCGAGATATGGGGAGATATGGGGAGATCTGGCGAGGCGACGCTCTGGGGAGATATGGCGAGATATGGGGAGATATGGGGAGATATGGCGAGGCGGATATGGCGAGGCGACGCTCTGCATGGGGAGATATGGCGAGATATGGGGAGATATGGCGAGATATGGGGAGATATGGCGACATCGACGACGCGACGCTCGACCACCAATGATCAGCTCCAACTCCAATGACCGACACGTCCTCCACGCACCACAGGCGACGCTCTCAACTATCAATCATAAATGATTCGTTTTTAGCACCACAGGCGACGCTCTCAGTTGTCAATCTTAAATTATTAGTCACTAGCACCACAGGCGACGCTCTACGGCGAGCACGTGAGCGGCGGCGCCACGCACACTCTCCCGCACCGCGTCCGCCTTCCAGGGCCCTTCCGGGACCCTTCCGGACCCTTCCCCATAGGCGGCGCCGCGCACACTCTCCCATACCGCGTACAACTTGACAGCGGCGCGGCAGTGCTGGCGCACCGCCACGAGCACCGGAAGGGTCCGACTCCAATGACCGGATCAGTTCATGAAGGCGCCCTTGAGTCTAGGCGCACCGCGATGAGCACTGGCTGGTCCGCGATTTGGCGCTGCAGGCCGAATGATAGATAGATGGGAAGGCGAAACACAGCCCGACCAATGTTGGGACACTACCGCGGGGTATGGGTGGACGCTAGACGGGCGGTGACGGTCACACAGGAGCGGCACACAGAGCCACAAGACAAGACACTCAGCCAATGGGGCTGCCACAGCTTCTGAGCGAACTTCCCTAGCAGGTCGAGGCGACTAGAATTCTTAACACGCAAGCCTCTCGCACAGCACACTGGCACGACAAGGGCGCGGACCGGCGCGGACTGGCACACACACCGAGGGGCCTAGCAGCAGAACTCGTGTTCATGCATCCCAACCAGCGCTCGAGAGACATGCATCCCGGTGTCGTCCGCTGTGTTCCGCTGTATGCACTGTCTTCCTGCCCGTTGTACTCACGCGGTGCTCTCACGTTGGTGGATTCAGCACGCAGGCCGAGGGGCAGAGGCAGGGGGCCGGCGGCGCGCGCTGCCTCGCGCGGATGGAGCGGCGGGAGGTGGCAACTGCGAGTGTGAGGAGTGCAGCTGTGAGGAGTGCGGCTGTGAAGAGTGCAGCTGCGAGTAGGTGGCGGAGGGTGAGTGGCAGAGAGTCGACCACCAGACGCGACAGGTGCTTGAACAGAGAGGAGCCGAGAGGAGCCGAGGGGAGCCGAGAGGAGCCGAGAGGAGCCGAGTACTGACTGGCGATCGCAGGTCGCGGCTTCACACCGCGCTCTTACCGCCAGCTTTGCTCCTGTGGTAGGTGCGGTCGTGCGCGCCGCCAGAGTCGGATTCGGAGGAGGAGTGAGCGAGAGGAGTGAGCGAGAGGAGTGGACGCCAGGGGAGTGGCCTGCAGGGCGGCATCTCTCGGACGCACCTCAGTTGTGAGCTCCTGCGCAAGGGGCGAAAGGGGGAGGCGCGCAGCGGGGGCAGCCAAGGCGCAGACATACCACAGCACGCGCTCATGCTCCACGCGGAAGGTACGATAGTTTGATGTCTCTAGATCCGATCGCGCTGACCCTTCCCGCAGGCTCGCGTACGAGGTTTCCAGGAAAGGTGTCAGCTCGACAGCTAGACCACAGTTGCGAGTTGCGAGAATTGGCACACAGTACATCTAGGAAGCGCCTGTCAGACCGAAAGACCATTGACGCTGGCGGTCAAATGGGTGCAGGGTGACCACCTCAAACTATTCTCAAACAACAGACAAACTCCAACAAACCCCCCCAAAAGAAACACAAAGCGCGAATCTCAGAACGGCCGTCAAAGAAGAACTTTCCCGTCCAAAAAAATCTCGTTGCGCGCGCCGAGAAGGCAGAAGCGAGATGTGAGAGAGAGAGATTTTTAGCAATACCAAACAACTCTAACACTCACACGTAATTTGGGGCCTGGAGCCCTGTTCACGCGCGCGCGAGACGTGCTTTTGTTTTGAGATGTGTGGTGGCGGCGTGCCGTCCTCCCAACTCTCGCTCATGCTCTGTTTCTTTCTTTGCGGTGCTCGCGGATTCGACTGTCCCCCCGATCGTGCCCACCTCCATGAGGACGACGGCGCCTTCTAAAGGTCCGTCGCAGGCTGTGCCTCTTTTGGTACCTGTGTCGAACCTGTGTGCTGTCCGAGAGAGTTCTTTTTGTTGAATTCTTTCTTCCTGTGTCGAGCCTGTCTGCTGTGAGAGAGAGTTGTTTTGTTTAAATTCTTTCTGTCTTCGCCCGCCGAGCCGAGTATACGCCTGCGTCACGCTCACGCATGGCGCCAGACGGCGTGACTGTCCTGCGGCGTGCCGAGGCTCGCGCCCTGTACAGGGCCTCCGACTATTACAGGCGAGACTGGTCGGTTGCGGCTGGAGAGTACAATGCGACACTGCAGCGCCTGCACAACAGCTCTGCCACGAGTGCCCTGCCATCAGACCGGCCAACGGACGTGCCGTCAGTGTCAGAGGCGACATCAGCTAGATCCATGTCGCACGTGGCAATCATTCTCGCCGGCCGCAGTGGCGGCGGCGGTGCCGCGGCCATGCGAGCGAGTCGCTACCCAAGCGCAGCAGGCGGCCTCATCCGGTCCTTCGTCGTCAACTACAGGTCACCTTTGCATCTCCATCTCGTCTCCGACGCTCCCTCCTGCCGGGCCGGTGCGGCAATTGCGGCCGCATCCGCCACCGCGCCGCTTCGCACCAGCTGCTACGATGTTGCGCGCTGCGTCGGCCTCACCCGGCCCCTCGCACCATTCACCGCAATGCACTTCTCCTCAGTGTGCAAGCTCTTCCTTGCGCAACTACTGCTCGGGATCAAGGGCAGTGTGCTCGTGCTCGACCTGGACACGGTCGTGACTCAGGACCCACAGCCGTGCCTCGCCCCGCTGCCAGCTCCCGCCTACATCGGTGCAGTGTTTGACATGGGCGCGATGTGCGGCCCCTTCCCATCGCGATGCTGGCCGTTGGCCTACGAGTTCGCTGGCGCGCGGTGTCGCGAGGGTGCTGGGGGTGCGCCGCTCAACGGGGGCGTGCTGCTCCTTCACCTAGGGAGGATGCGGGCGGCGCGGTTTGCAGCACGCATCGTCGCGGCGACAAGGCGGACTGCGGCCATGCTGCCCGCATCGCATCGGCAGGCGGAGTGGGGAGATCAGGAGTTCCTCAACAACTGGCTGCGGCTGCACCCTGAGTCGCTGCACCACCTACCCTGCGGCTGCAATTTTCAGCCGCTGGGCTACAAGGCGGCCGACCTCTGCGGCGGCCAACCGCTCTTCATTGCACACCTGTGGCACGTCGGCATGCTGACACCGCACAAGGCAACAGCCAACTCGGCTACACACCTTGGACCCAGCTCGGCTCTGTCCTGGATGTCGCTCCGCTAAGCTCGCTACTGCCGCACTAGGCGGGCGCAGTCGGTGCCCTCTACCAACATCACGTAGAGAGGGCAGCCGCGGGCGGGGCGCCGTCGGCGCACGGCGCAGGAGTAGCGAGTGGCGGGCAAGTGCGCGGCGAGGCTTCGGTCACGGCCTTGGACGTGCTCCGCCGCACGCCGGGCGAAGCGAGCGCGTGCGGGTACCAGGGCGAGCAGCCGCCCGAAGTCGTCCACTCGCTTCGCTGCCCCACACAGCCCTGGAACTGCAGCGAGCTGCGGGAGGCCGGCGGCGGCGGCGCCTTGCCACCCATGCTGGGCAGAAGCCGAGTAGTAGTGTGGGCGTCGCGCCGCCATTTGAGGCTCGCGGGCGTCCGTCCTGGGGACGCGGGAGCGGCTAGCCTGGCCGTGGCGCTCATCTTTTGGCTCGCCGTGGTGCTGCTGTGTTGCGAGAGGCCGCTCGTGTGCTCGCCCGCGCGGTTGAGGTCGTGGCGAGACCAGGATGTGTGATGGGGGTCGAGACCGATTCGCCTCGGTTGTCGCGCAACTGGCACCTCCTGTTGTTGGCGGTGCGGGGGCACTACCTGAGTGACAATAAATGTATGTGTCGAAAGGTGAAACACAGTCAGACCAACGGTCTGGGACACCAGCGCGGTATCGGGGTGGACGCAAGACGGGGGGTGACGGCCGACACGCACATGAGCGTTGAGCGACAATGCGGCGCAGCTGCGGCAACTACCGCCGACTCGGCTCGACAGCAGCTGATGGCAGAGCCTCCCCTCCCCTCCCCTCCTCCCAAGAAGAAAAAGCTCTCGACAACAGTGCCCTCGTGGATCTCTGCGAGCTACTCGTCGCTATGAAGGTAGGTAGGTAGGTAGGTAGTAAGGTGAAGAACAGCCAGGCTCGGACTGGACACCAACGCGGTATTGATTGATTGATGGGAAGGCGAAACACAGTCCGACCAACGACTGGGACACCAACGCGGTATGGGTGGACGCTAGACGGGCGATGACGGTCACACAGGAGCGACACACAGAACCACAAGACAAGACACTCAGCCAAACTGACTGCCACACATCCTGAGCGAACTTCCCTAGCCACCCGCGGCCGGACTCCATCCGGCACGCGTTGCTGGGCGCTCAGAGCCGCGTCCCCTGCTCGCCACCCCGACGCCGAAGGCGCCCGAGCGAACGACAGGCGGCACGCGAAGACTGATTGCAATCCCGCCGACCGCCAGGCCGCGGGATGATGCGTGCGTGGTCATGTAGTGGGTCTCGGAAGCTCCCCTCTCGGGCTAGGAGCCAGCCCCTCTCCCTTGCCCTCGGAACACCGTGTCCGAGTCGAGGCGTGGTATGGGTGGAAAGAAAGAAAGAAAGAAAACACACAACCCAAGGGAGGGATGGGAGAACGGCATGGGTGGAGGTTTCCGAGGTTTGCTCGACGTTTTTCTTTTCCTCGCGATGTCCATCTTGCCGCGCCGCCGCTCGCGCCGCCTCGCCCCCGCCTCCACCGCCGCCCCCTCGCCAAGCACGCCGCCGCCCATCCGCCTCCTCGACCTCCCCACGGAGCTCCTCGTGCGCGCCCTCTCTCACTGCGACCCCGCCGACATCGCTCGCGCCGCAGCCGTCTCGCTGCTCTTCCACGCCTCGCTTGCGCTGGAGGGCATCCGCTTGTGGGCGCAAGAGCGCGGCTTCGAGCTGCCGGCGCTGCCAGAGGGCGAGAGCTGCGCCGTGCGGTGGCTGTGCTTCGCTGCGCTGCTGCGCGAGTCCAACCCGCCGGCGAGGGCGGCGGCAGGCTCCTCCCACAGCCTCTTCATCGTCGGCGAGGGGCGGCTCTCGTCGTGCGGCAGTGAGGGGATCTACCCAGGCCTGCTCGGCCACGGCGAGGGCGTGACGCGGCTCACCACGCCGACCCGCCTCCCGTCGACGCTGGATGAGCGCGCCGTGAGCGTGGTGGCTGGAGGGAGGCACAGCCTCGCCCTCACCGCCAACGGAGCTGTCTGGAGCTGGGGCTGCGGAAGGTTTGGCTGCTTGGGCCACGGCGACGAGGAGACGCAGCTGCTGCCCAAGAAGGTCGAGGCCTTTGCTGGCCGGCGCGTCGTCGCTGTGTCGGCGGGAGGCAACCACAGCCTCGCCATCACCGCCGACGGCAGCGTCTGGAGCTGGGGCTATGGAAGCCAAGGCAGGTTGGGCCACGGCGACCAGCAAAACCAGTCACTGCCCAAGAAGGTCGAGGCCTTTGCTGGCCAGTGTGTCCTCGCTCTCTCGGCTGGACAGCACCACAGCCTCGCCCTCACCGCTGACGGCGCTGTCTGGAGCTGGGGCTTTGGTTTGGACGGCCGGTTGGGCCACGGCGACGAGCAGGACCAGCTGCTGCCCAAGAAGATCGAGGTGTTGGCGCAGCGCGTCGTCGCTGTGTCAGCTGGTGGCCAAAACAGCCTCGCCCTCACCGCCGACGGCGCCGTCTGGAGCTGGGGCTATGGAGGCCAAGGCCGGTTGGGCCACGGCGACGAGCAGATCTTGCTGCTGCCCAAGAAGGTCGAGGCCTTTGCTGGCCAGCGCGTCGTCGCTGTGTCGGCTGGAGGCGGGCACAGCCTCGCCCTCGCCGCCGACGGAGCTGTCTGGAGCTGGGGCTCTGGTTTTCACGGCCAGCTGGGCCGCGGCGACCAGCAGCGCCAGCTGCTGCCCAAGAAGGTCGAGGCCTTTGCGGGCCAGCGCAACGACGCTGTGTCGGCTGGGGTCTACCACAGCCTCACCGTCACCACCAACGGCGCCGTCTTTACTTGGGGCGAGGGCCCCCACGGCTGCCTAGGACACGGAGAGGACCTGTCGGACCAGCTGCTGCCCAAGAAGGTCGAGGCGTGGGCGCCGGGGCAGTGATGAGAAGGGTGAAATGGTGCACAGACGTATCCGAGAGTGGAGAGAGGCGAATCCGGGACGGTGAGGATTGTGCATGGTCCACTGTTCCTGCGGGCCGCCCCCGCTGCTGCACCTCTGGGCCTTCTTGTTGTTGCGAGGCCGTGATGTGGCTTCCCGAGGGCATGCATGATCGCGTGTCGTACACTGTTGCGGCTCTCTCCTGGGCTAAAGCCGTAGCCCTGGCGCTGGTGATGCCCTGATTTCTGTTCTTTTCCCCTGAATTATTCGTTTTTACTGTCGGGGAAAAGACGTGGTGGGTCGTGGCTGCCCAGCTCCCTCTCTTCCCTCCTCAGAGCTCGTCGTTTCCGTCGGGCCTCGTGAAGCCGTCGCGCCGCCCGCCGGTTCCCATGGCCAAGCTCAGCCCGAGGCTGCCGCCCGGCGCACACACGGGCGTGGCGCGCGCCCAGCTCTGCTGGAACTCGACCTCGGACTGCTCCGACGGGATGTAGTACGACGCCTGCGGCATTGTACAGGTAAGGGAAGGGTCAAGGGAAGAGGGAAGAGGGAAGGTAAACTACTCCGCCTGGTGGCAGTGTCGTTACTCCGCTGGCCGACTCCCTCGCCACGCAGTTTGTGTGACTGTGACTAATAAGCGCAAGGTGTGAAGGGGGGGAGGGGGGGGGGGGGGGGCACGGAGGGGGAGGCGAGGGAAGGGTGGAGCGGAGGAAGGTCTAGGGGAGAGGCGGGCGGAGCGAGTACGGTCTCTAGGGTACTATGGGAGGGGCGGGAGGAGAGGACGAGAGGAGGAGAGAGCAGGCGAGGACGAGGAGGAGGGAGGCGCCTTGTGCCGCCGCTGAGCGCCGCCATACTCGCCGTCGATCACGCCCGCGCCGCCGGAGCTCCCAGCAAACGAGCTCTCGCCAGACGGCGCCTAATCAACGAACTAATTACGTCGCTCAGCAGTCTGCAAACGAGCTCTCTCCAGACGGCGCCTGCTCTCAGGTCAGGTAGACTTCTCCACACACACACGATATTGTGGGGCGAGGGCCAGCCTAGTCCCTCGCGACTCCACGTCTAGAGGAAAGGAGCCGGACACGGCATTCAAGGTGCAAGGCCCGGTGGGCGAGCGGCATCCAACGAAGGTGCAAGGCCCGGTGCGCGTGGGTGAGTGAGTGTGTGGGAGTGCATGTGCGCGCGCGCGCGCGCGCCTGCTCTCTCCCCGCGTAGAGCGAGACGGACTCGTCATCGTCATCGTCGTCGTAGCCTAGAAGGTTCCTAGAAGGTTCCTAGAAGGTTCCTAGACGGACTCGTCACCGTCCTCGTCGTCGTAGCCTAGAAGGTTCCTAGAAGGTTCCTAGAAGGTTCCTAGACGGACTCGTCATCGTCCTCGTCGTCGTAGCCTAGAAGGTTCCTAGAAGGTTCCTAGAAGGTTCCTAGACGGACTCGTCACCGTCCTCGTCGTCGTAGCCGGCGGCGTTGCGCGCACTCCACCGCCGCGTCTCCTCTCCGTCCTCGTCGCCTAGAAGGTTCCTAGAAGCTTCCTAGAAGGTTCCACCGCCGCGTGGGGCCTCTCACGGTCGCCGCCGCCGCCGCCGCCGCCGCAGCCGGCGCAGCAGCAGCAGAGGCAGAGGCAGGTGAGGAGGGTGGAGGCGGCGGCGACGACAGCCTCCACCGTGATCTGGTACCTGGGCTCTCAGTTCGTTGAACAGGTGAGTGACTCATTTCACTCGCATCGACGTCCTCATCTGGTCAGCAGCCTTGGATCTGGTCTCTCTGTTACTGCTGTCTCGGCTCCTGAACCTTCCTCTCGGCTCCTCTCGGCTCCTCTCGGCTCCTTTCGGCTCCCCTCGGCCCCTCTCGTCTCGCCTCGGCTCCCCTTGGCTAATCGCTCGGCTGGCTCCTCTCGGCCCCTCTCGGCTCTCTCTCTCTCTCTGCTAACCGCTCGGCGCCTCGAGAGAGAGGAGGGCGGCAAGAGGCGCGAGAAGAGGGAGGCCGCCTGTGTTCACAGCTCGAGGGCGTGAAGAGGCGTGCATGGGGTGTGAAGAGGCGTGAACCGAGGAGTGAGGAGGCGTGAAGAGGAGTGAGGAGGAGTGTGAGGAGGTATGTGAAGAAGTGTGAAGAGGCGCGAAGCGGTAGCACAGCACACAGCGCGCCTCCGAGCGAAGCGCCGCCACAAGGCCCGAGGGGGGAGGAGACAGCGGCGGCGACGGCGGCGACGGCGGCGGGCGCGATGGCGGCGGCGGCGGCGGCGGCGATGGGGGCGGCGGCGGCGGCGGCGAGGGCGGCGAGGGCGGCGGCGACGGCGGCGGCGGCGGTGGCGGCGGCGGCGACGGCGGGCGCATGCAGAAGGGGAGTCCGAGGGACGCCTGTTCACAGCTGCAGGTGTGAAGAGACGCTGTTCACACCGCCACGCACGAAGGAGGGCAGGCCAGAGGGGCATTACCGTGATGATGCTGATGTCGGCGGGCTCGACGCGGCCTAGATCTCGGGCAATCTCGGGTGATCTCGAGAGATCTCGAGAGATCTCGAGAGATCTCGAGAGGCAGTGTGTCGGCGGGCTCGACGCGGCCTGACGGGGCGCGGGAGGCGGGAGATTGGCGGGAGATTGCGTCGCATCTCCGCAACTCGGCGCAACTCGGCGCATCTCGTCTCGCATCTCGGCGCATCTCGTGGCGCATCTCGGCGCATCTCGTGTCGCATCTCGCCGTTGTCGTCGACGTCGGCGTTCTGCTCGGGAGGCGCGTGGCACGGCTCGAGGCTCGGAAGCTGCGGGGTCGCAGAGAGGGGAGGCGTCGAGCGTGTGGTGCGTGTGCGCGTGCGTGCGTGGTGCGTGCGAGAAAGCTGTGCGTAGTGTGTGTGTGTGTGTGTGTGTGTGTGTGTGTGTGTGTGTGTGTGTGTGTGTGTGTGTGTGTGTGTGGCAGAAAGATGAGAGGTTGGCTGAAGCAGCCAAGACGGATGCGTGGAGAGGCAGTGGCGCGCGAGAGGCAGGGGCAAGGGCGGCAATGCGGTGTGCGCAGGGTGGTAGAGGCGGTGTGGCGAGGGCGCGGCGGAGGCGGGTGCGGCGCAGCCGCGTGCGCGGTGATGAAGCGGCGGGCAGGGTGGCGGCGGCCTGGACACACTCGCCGGTGGCGCCACAGCGGTAGTGGCCCTCGGCGGCGCCCGATCCGCGCCCGTGGCAGTACCGTCTTTTGTACTGCTGCGACCAGAGGTCGAGGTCCTTCTGGCTCAGAACTCCGTCGTGGTTTATATCGGACCGGCGCGCGAGGAAGCCGCCCATTGACGCAGGGCGAGAGCGGCGGCAGCGGCGGAGGAGGGGCGACGAGCGGAGAAGTCTGGTGCGGCTTTTTCATGTTGATGGACTTTGTCAGACGCCATCCCCAGAAGAATTTTTGCGAGCGCCGGTCCACAAAAAAACAAGATTCGTACACGACAGACAAGGCGCGGGCGACGGCTTCCTCAGGAGCCGTCGCCCCCACCACAGAAGCAGTCACATGACTCCCACTCCGGCGCCCGCCCCACCCCACGCCACCATCCTCACCCTACCCGCCCCACTCCCCGACCCGTGCAACCCCCGCCGCTCCGCCCCGACCCGACCCGACCCGACCCCGCTGGCTCAGCACCGCCCCGCCCCTTCAACCGGACGGTACCCCTGACAGTTGAGGTAACCTGCAACGGGGGATCCCCAGCATCCACGGTGCAACGTATCTTCTCACTGCATATCCTCTTTTGGTATTTCTAATATGTTTGCCACAAATCAAAAAGAAAACAAAAAACGAAAACAAAGATTTTGTAATACGACACAAACGGCCTCTCTTTTGCCAAGATCTTTATAGAAGAAAACTGACAGGAAAGAAAAAACACCGCGGGGACCCACTTCCCCCCCCCCCCGAAATTCAGAAAATAAAAGAAAAACAGCCTAACCCCAGTAGGTATAACGCCGAGTGCCAGACCACCAGGGGGCAAGTGTGTGTAGCACCTTCGACCCCGAAATGAAGGTCGCCACGCAAAACCGGGCGCTAGGAGAGGTGAACTGAAGGCTGAGCGAAACGGGGCCATGTCCGACTCCGAGGCTTCCATGCCGGGCCTGGAGCCGTTCCACGTGCGTCAGATCCGGATGGTCGAGCGCGTCCTCGGCCAGAAGGTGTCGCCACGCGACCACGCGATGATTGATTGTCTCGCGGAGCGCATGGAGAGGTACGGTTGGCACTCCGTCAGCATCAACCCGGTGCCGCTTGGGTATCAGTACATCATCCAGGCCAAGTCTGAGAAGAGGCGGGAGGATGAGGCCAGGCAGCGGGCCGCGCAGGACGCTGCGCAGCCTCAGCCTACCGCCACTTTCGCCGCACCGCCCGTGGCACCGTCTGCCGCCGCTGCCGCTCCGGCCGCAGCATCGCAGGCACACTCGCAGCACCAACAGGCGCAGCAACCCCGGCCCAACGAGTCGCCCGAGGGGTGGACGAGGGTCGGGAAGGGCGGCAAGCCGGACAGGTTCACCATGAAGAACTTCGGCCGCAACCCGCCAAAGTCGGGCAAGCGGAAGCAGGAACACCGCAAGCCCGCACCCAAGGGAGGTGGACCCCCACCCCCTTCTCCCAAGGTGGTGGACAAGAACAGGCTGAGCGCATTGGGAGCTGGCCCTTCTGGCACCAGCGGGAGCCACGAGCGCGCACCGCCGCGCTCTCCCTCCCCCACCTCGCCGCCTGCCAAATCGCCGCGGCCGTCTGCGCCTGCTTCCGGGTATGACTCCGAGCTCGAATTTTCCGACGCTGAGGCGCGGGATAGGGTGGCAGGGGTTGTGCACGACGCAGTGCAGCAGGCTGTGATGCAATATGGCTATGACGACGAGCTCTACCAGGCATGGAGGGACGGCAAGATAGGCGAAAAGGACTTGCCGGAGGAGGTGATGGCTATGACTTTGGACCTTTGCGAGAGGTGGCGAGCGGAGCAAGCGCGGTGTAGGCGCGCCCACGCGGCGCAGCGGCTCTCCCGCGACCATAGCCCCTCCCGCAGCCGCAGCCGTAGCCGCAGCCCCAACTCTTGCTGCTCTTCTAGTGTCGGGTAGTGACCAGGGGGTGAGGGGACGGATTGAAGATCCCTCACACCAAGATCGTGCAGGGCGGGGACACATGTCCCTAAATCCCATCTCGTCTCAGAGTTTGACCGTTTTTATTTATTTATTTATGAAGGCTGAGACAACGGAGGCCGAGCCTGAGTGGGCGCCCGCGCGCCCCCACACAGGCAAGCCTCTGTCCTTCGGCCCACTCCGGCGATCGTCCGTGGGCGACCGCGGACAACATGAGGCCTAATCAATTCCCTCACCACCCGACCCCCCTCTAGGGACAGCAGCGCGCTTCTCATCCCGGAGAGGGAAGGAGGGGGGGGGGGGGGGCGGGGGGGAAATCAAAAAGCCAAAACAGGGAGTACCCCCCACGGACCCGAGTCGGGGGGAAAGCGAGACGAGAGATTCAAGGGGAACTTCATCGCCCGTCCAGGAGCCCCGCATTAGGTAGCGACCCCAGGTTCAAAGCTAGGCTTCCCGACAGGGCAGGGAACCCCCAGCGCGCAGGCGGGGCCCACGGTAGCCTCGTGCAGTACGCGATACCGAGAGCTGGGGGGAGAGGCGCGCCACGCCAAGGGGGACGAGTGACGGGAGGGGGAGAGTAGTGTCTTTCGCAGGGTAAAACGCAATTTTTTTTTTCCAAGACCAAGTGCGATGCCCAAAGCAACTCCCACTGAGCGAGCCGCGCAACTCACTCGCTACCATCGACACCCGTGCGTGTCACACTACCTCTACCGTTCCGGATTCGCCTCTCCCCACTCTCGGAGACGTTCGCAGGTGGCGGCGAATAGGAACGTGCACTTTCGCGCTTCTCGCGCTTCTCATCACTGCCCCGGCGCCCACGCCTCGACCTTCTTGGGCAGCAGCTGGTTGGACAGGTCCTCTCCGTGGCCTAGGCAGCCGGTCTCGCCCTGGCCCCAGGTAAAGACGGCGTTGGCGGTGGTGACGGTGAGGCTGTGGTCGCGTCCCGCCGACACAGCGACGACGCGCCGCCCAGCCAAGGCCTCGACCTTCTTCGGCAGCAGCTGGTTCTGCCAGTCGCCGTGGCCCAGCTTGCCGAAGTCCCCATGGCCCCAGCTCCAGATGGCGCCGTCGGCGGTGAGGGCGAGGCTGTGGTAGCATCCTGCCGAGGCAGCGACGACGCGCTGACCAGCAAAGGCCTCGATCTTCTTGGGCAGCAGCTGGTGCTGCTCGTCGCCGTGGCCCAACTGGCCAAAGCCTCCATCGCCCCAGCTCCAGAGAGCGCCGTCGGCGGTGAGGGCAAGGCTGTGGGCGTATCCAGTCGACACAGCGACGACGCGCCGGCCCGCCAAGTCGTCGACCTTCTTCGGCAGCAGTTGGCGCTGCTGGTCACCGTGGCCCAACCGGCCAAAGTCTCCCCAGCCCCAGCTCCAAACCGAGCCATCGGCGGTGAGGGCGAGGCTGTGGAAGTCTCCAGCCGACACAGCGATGACGTGCTGACTCGCCAAGGCCTCGACCTCCTTGGGCAGCAGCTGGTTCTGCTGGTCGCCGTGGCCCAGCCGGCCTTCGCCTCCATAGCCCCAGCTCCAGACGGCACCGTCGGTGGTGATGGCGATGCTGTGGTTAAGTCCGGCCGACACAGCGACGAGGCGCCGCCCCGCCAACGCCTCGACCTTCTTGGGCAGCAGCTGGCCCTGCTGGTCGCCGTGGCCCAGCTTGCCAGAGACTCCATAGCCCCAGCTCCAAACGGCGCCGCTGCTGGTGAGGGCGAGATTGTGCCCGCCTCCAGCCGACACAGCGACGACGCGCTCGCTGCTCATCGTGGCAGGGAGGCGGGTCGGCGTGTTGAGCCGCGTCACCCCCTCGCCGTGGCCGAGTAGCCCTGGGTTGAAGGACGGCGCACAGCCGCACGCCGAGAGCCGCCCCTCGCCATCGATGAAGAGGCTGTGCCGAGTGCCTGCCGCCGCCCTCGCCGGCGGGTTGGACTCGCACAGCAGAGCCGAATAGCACAGCCACCGCACGGCGCAGCTCTCGCCCTCTGGCTGCGCCGGCAGCTCGAAGCCGCGCTCTTGCGCCCGCAAGCGGATGCCCTCCAGCGCAAGCGAGGCGTGAAAGAGGAGCGAGACGGCTGCGACGCGAGCGATGTCGGCGGGGTCGCAGCGAGAGAGGGCGCGCACGAGGAGCTCCGTGGGGAGGTCGAGCAGGCGGGCGGGCGGCGGCATGCTCGGCGAGGGAGCGGCGGTGGAGGCGGAGGCGAGGCGGCGCGAGCGGCGGCGCGGCGGGGTGGACATCGCCAGGAAATGCCTCTCCCCGGGTTGGAGACTCGCGAGACGGCGCGGCCCCGAGATCGCCCGAG